TACAGGTAGTCCTCAAGTTACAACCGTTTGTTTAGTGAACATTCAAAGTTACAATGGCGCTGAAAAAGTTATTTATGGTTGTTTTTTCACACTTACGACTGCTGCAGCCTCCCCATGGTCACGTGATCAAAATTCAGATGCTTGGCAACTGACTCGTATTGATGACGGTTGCAGTGTCCCGGGGTCATGTGATCCCCTTTTGTGATCTTCTGACAAGCAAAGTTAATGGGGAAGCCAGATTCAATTTACAACCGTAACAACTGTGGTGAAGAACGTCATAAAATGGTGCAAAACTCACTTAACCACTGTCTTGCTTAGCCACAGAAATTTTGATTTCAATTGTGGTCGTAAGTCTAGGACAGGGATAAGCAACCTTGGTTCTTTTATGACTCGTGGACTTCAACTCCCAGAATTCCTGAGCCAACATAGCTCAGCATGGAAACCTCTCCCTTTCTCCTCAGCATGGCTGGCTCAGGAATTCTGGGAGTTGAAGTCCACGAGTCATAAAAGAGCCAAGGTTGCCTACCCCTGATCTAGGACCACCTGTATATCAGCTCTGCACTGCCATTAAATGGAACCTCCATTAATGATTGTGTTTTGGTGCAGCCTAAAATGTTAGGGTTAAGAAGAGGCACCAGCAAATTCCAGGCATTTCAGCTAAGATGAATCAGTGGTTGATTTCTTTTATATCCTTGGGTGAAAACAGAGCATTCTGTTCAGCATACGTTGTATCTCATGAGGTCTTGGAAGCTGAAGGACAGTAAAATCATTGAGAAAACTGTCGGGGTTTAAGTCTTGCCAAAACGGTCGCCAAAGAGAAACGATCCAGAATGGTCACCTGCTAATTCTGGAGAAAGAGTGGGAGCTGGCTGGAATTTGTGGCAGAAATTCCATTTGCAGTCATGCATAAGGATTTCAAACAGGTCTCAGAAGGAAGGTCAGGATCTAATAATCTAATAAGTGGCATTGTAAGGAACCTTGAAAATATGACAGTATTTTTATTTATTATATTTTTCAAATTTATACCGCTGCTCTCATCCCAAAGTAAGTGACTCTATAACAATGGTTCTCAACCTTTTTAATGCCGTGACCCCCAACCCGTCGTAAGTCGAGGACTACTCAACCGGTGCAGCACCGTTTGCAGAATGGGACTTTTGGCGGGCTCAGCAGGGCAGAGACAGCCTGGACAATTCCTATTGGCTTTTGAAAGCCAATAGAATTAGACTCTATTCAAGAGAGTCTATTCTATTGGCTTTCAAAAGCCAATAGAATAAAAGGGAGTAGCACAGCTAAGGAAAAGGGGGAAAAAATGGCGGACTGCGTTGTTTGGCGACCCCCGTGAAATGGTCGTTTGACCCCAAATGGGGTCCCGACCCACAGGTTGAGAACCGCTGGTCTATAATCATTTGTAACCAGGTATAATTTAAGGAAAAACTTAAATTATCGTGGTGGGATCTATATCACACTAAGGAGCGGAACGGGACAACTCGCTGCAGGATTCATTTAGTTCCTTTTATTTTTGTCAAAATTAGCTTATCTCCTGTATCAAAGGAAATCAATGCCACGACTACCAGCTTTCGTAATGCTTTGATGAATAAGAAAAGGAACTGTCCCGAGGGTGCTTTTTTTCACTAGGCAACTGGACTTTCTTGTTTCTCTTTGAAGACGTTTCACTTCTCATCCAAAAAGCTTCTTCAGTTCTGCCTGGATGGTGGGGAATGGAAAGATTTATATACTCCTTGCAGACAGCTGGTCATTTGCATTCCTTTAGAGCAGGGGTAGGCAACCTTGCCTCTTTTATGACTCATGGACTTCAACTCCCAGAATTCCTGAGTCAGCATAGCTCAGCATAGCTGGCTCAGGAATTCTGAGAGTTGAAGTCCATGAGTCATAAAAGTCATAAAAGAGCCAAGGTTGCCTACCCCTGCTTTAGAGAGTCATTGAGGCCACTTGGAGTTTTTTTTTTCTGCGTCCTCAGGGTCACCTGAATAGTGGAAATGTTCCAGTTGCCACCTGAAAAAACACCTTTGGGACAACCATTACGTGGACAACTGAGAATCTCCACAAACATTTAAATATGCCCTTTGGGATGAACATCCTTCAAATGGTGCAGGAATATGAATGGATTTCTAGAAAACACTGCAGACCACAGGAACCATTTCTTCAGTTTGAGATGCAGACAACACAGACTCATCCCCAACAGCCTGCACCTGTCTTCAACGGTGTAGAGACCCAGGGCAGAAAACATCCTGCATCCAAGAAGTCTCCACACCCATTTGCCCTACTCAGGTGACCCTGAGGACACAGACAAACCTCTAAGTGACCTCAACGGCTCTCAGAAAGAGTGCTAATGACCAGGTGACTGCAAGGAATATAAATCCTTCCATTCCCCACCATTCAGTCAGACCTGAAGAAGCTTCTTGGATGAGAAGCGAAACGTCTTCAAGGGAAAACAAGGAAGTCCAGTTGCCTCTTGAAAAGCACATTCCCTGAGTAATTGTAATGCCTGGATGACTGAACATCTCCATAGACAATAAAAGGAACTAATCCTGCACTGAATTTTCCCGTGGCGACTTATCCTAGATCAGGGGTAGGCAAGCTTGGCTCTTTTTTGACTCGTGGACTTCAACTCCCAGAATTCCTGAGCCAGCATGGCTCAGCTTGGAAACCTCTCCCTTTCCCCTCAGCATGGCTGGCTGAGGAATTCTGGGAGTTGAAGTCCACCAGTCATAAAAGTGCCAAGGTTGCCTACCCCTGCCCTATACCAATAGAGTTGCAATATTTTTTGTGGGTGTCTATTTCCTGACCTGCTTTAATTTAAAGGGCTGACATTTTGGGGGTTGAATCCAAAGCAACACATAGTCCTCAAAAGTAACAAATTCACTGGCATTTAACAAATAAAACAGTGGTATCTTAGCATCTTCTTGATAATACCATTTGCTTTTGTTAAACCACTTAGTGCAGCGGTTCTCAACCTATGGGTCGCAACCTCATTTGGGGTCGATCGACCATTTCATGGGGGTCGCCAAGCAAGGCCATCCACCATTTTTTTCCCCTTTTCCGGCAGGTGCCTTACCTCCCTTGGGCTGGGCTAGCTGGTGGCCCAGCCGGTGGTCAGCCTGCTCTGTCTCTGCCACTTGCCAGCTACGCCTTGGCCGGTGCAGGGGGCAGCACCACGCATGCACGGCGCTCCCGGGCAAGGAAAGTCCTTGACTTACGACCGGTTGGTAGTCCTTGACTTACGACCAGTTTAGTCCTCGACTTACGACCGGTTGGGGGTCACGGCATTAAAAAGATTGAGAACCACTGACTTAGTGGAAAATGAAATGCATGGCTGGCTCAGGAATTCTAGGAATTGAAGTCCACAAGTCATAAAAGAGCCAAGGTTGCCTACCTCTGTCCTAGACCCTTAAGAACGGTGGGTTCTCCATTTCTGAAAGTCTTTAAGAGACTGGACAGCCACCTCTTAGGTGGTTGAGTTGATTCTCCTTCACTTTGCAGAGGGTTGCACTAGGATCAAGGGTGTCAAACTACCAGCCCGTGCTGGTTGCATCAAATGGAGACCGCGCCGACCCCAGCTCCGGCAATGCAAAAAACATTGTAATATATCGTGACATGTCACGTGACATGTCGAGTTTGACACCTATGCACTAGATGATCTTGGGTGTTCCTTTCCACTCCAACATCCTATGATTCTTGACCCTGAACTGGTAGAAATGAAAAGAAAGACTAGGCATGACATGATAGCAGTGTTCCAATATCTCAGGGGTTGCCACAAGGAAGAGGGAGTCAGCCTACCCTTCAAAGCACCCAAAGGCAGGACAAGAAGCAACGGATGGAAACTTATCAAGGAGAGAAGCCATCTAGAACTAAGGAGAAATTTCCTGACAGTTAGAGCAATTAATCAGTGGAACAAGCTGCCTCCAGAAGTTGTGGATGCTCCAACACTGGAAATTTTTAAGAAGAGATTAGACAGTCATTTGCCTGAAATTGTATAGGGTTTCCTGCCTAAGCAGGGAGTTGGACTAGATGACCTCCAAGGTCCCTTTCAGCTTCTATTCTATTCTATTCTATTCTATTCTATTCTATTCTATTCTATTCTATCATTCCAATTTCTATTCTATTCTGTTCTGTTCTGTTCTATTCTATTCTATTCTATTCTATTCTATTCTATTCTATTCTATTCTATTCTATTCTATTCTATTCTATCATTCCAATTTCTATTCTATTCTGTTCTGTTCTGTTCTGTTCTGTTCTGTTCTATTCTATTCTATTCTATTCTATTCTGATTACATATGATATCCACCATTTGGAGAAATTGGGTAAGGAGACATTTTTGTCTTTCTCAGAACATGGGACACAAATACACAGCCACAGCCTGAGCAGAGGGTTGGACTAGAGGACCTCCAAGGTCCCTTCCAACTCTGCTATTCTGTTCTGTTCAGCCCATCTCAAAACAGCAGACGAAGAACAGTGAGCGAGCGAGGTTATTTCTGGAGGAAAATGCTAAAGATTGTCCTGAGAGTTGCTATGGAGGAAAAACTTTATTTTATATATAATATATATATATGTATTTTTATAACCATTAAGGACATATATATATGTATATATATCTGCTGTAATTCAGAAAGAGTTTTTCTTGATGTTTGTCTGGAGTCGAAAGGCAGTGCAATACATCATTCTCTCCCACCTCTTCCCTGTACATGCTCTGTATAATCAATGCAGGCCGTTTTCCTAATGCTTTTCTCATTCTGTTTATTTTTCTAACAAATTCTCTGTCTCTCTTTTTCTCCCCCCCTCCCTCAACCCCCAGGAAAAAACCCCAAGAGCCAGAAATGACGTCTTCTGCATCAGAAGAGAGAAAACTTCAGTTGAGCGGAATGCGGCTTCATAAATAGCAAACCACAAATGCTTGAAGGGGGCAGCAGAGGTGAACTATTCAGGTTAACTAATTCCAAATCTTTTTTTTTTTAAAGTGCACAAGGGAGGTGGGGGTGGAGAGAAGGTTTAAAAAGGTACAGGGCCACCCTTAAGATTCATAGGCTCTGAAAATGAGGACCATCATCGGAGTTTTTCTTTGCGTGCTGGCCTTCGTCTCTTGTACATCAGGTCAAATGCCTGGTGGGAGAGGTAAGTAGAATAAAATTATGGAACATAGAATCATACTGCTGGAAGGGATCTTGGAGGTCTTTTAGTCCAGTCTCCTGCTAAGGATGCCTAGCTCCTAGATATGAAAAAGGAGGATAAGAGAGACATGATAATCGTCCAGTGTTTTGAGGGAGCTGATAATTTCCAGTAATTTAGACGAACGGCGATCGAATTATTCTGCAGATCACCGAGGACAGGACAAGAAATAATGGATAGAAGTTTGTTAAGGAGAGAACCAACCTGGAACTAAGAAGAAATTTTCTCACAGTGGGGACAATTAATCAATGGAATAGCTTGCTTCTGAGAGTTGTGATTGCTCCCTCACTGGAGGTTTTCAAAAATAGATGGGACCACCATTTGATCAGGATGGTATAAGGTCTCCTGCCTTGAGCAAGGAGTCGGACTAGAAGACCTCCAGGGTCCCTTCCAGAGCTTAATTTTAGAAATCAATTTCAAATTTCCAGGCTGAGAATATATAGATCTTTCCTTTCTGGCTGCTGGTGTTTTTTTCCTCTACCTATTTGCTTGTTTTCTTATTAAATTCTGTTGCCGTCTTATTGACACTGAGTTTTACAGACATGCTTTAAGCTGGCAAGCAAATATATTTAAAGGATTATGCTGTAGCTTCTCTCCCTGATATCTAAGTTTATGATTTGGCTCTTCAAACTCTGGCAGAAGTCTTATGCAGAGAGTTGTGTTCTGAAGTTAAGTTTAATTTCAATCATGTATTTTTGTTACCCTTTATGGTCACACAATATTTAATTGTATATACCTAATGAACAACTTATGTGCTACAATGGAAGTATCATTAATAATTATATGTAACTACATATTGTAGCAATTTTGTCTCTCTTTACAACTCACCCACCCACAAAAATTTAGGAAATTAATCCAGATTTGGGCAAAAATAAGAATTGAATGAAATTTAGAAATGGAAAGCAAAGAAAAAAAGATTGTTCCTGTCTTCCTTATCTTATTCCATGTAGCATGGAACTCCTTGCTACAAGGTTTGGTGCTAATGTTTCTTGCAAATTGAGAAAAGAGCAAAGGTTGGATGCTCAATGGGTATCATCTCCCTTGCTAACTGCTGTCTTCATGCAACCAGGCAAACTAATGATCTTGTACCTATTAGTAGTAGTAGTAATAATAGTAATAATAATGATGATGATGATGATGATGACTCGATAGGTAGACAAAAATGCCAAATCCAGTTTGAACATCTGGCTGACTGTGCGATGATCAATAATAATAATAATAATAATAATAATAATAATAATAATAATAATAATGTTGGAAGGGACCTTGGAAATAATGATGATGATGATGTTGGAAGGGACCTTGGAGGTCATCTAGTCCAACCCCCTGCTCAGGCAGTAAACACTATACCATTTCAGACAAATGGCTGTTCAGTTTCTTCTTAAAAATCTCCAGTGATGGAGCACCCACGTCTTCTGGAGGCAAATTGTTCCACTGATGTTGGAACAATTGTCCTTGCCTTAAAGCCATAACTGGGATCAGAATTTCCATTGCTAAGCAACATGGTCGTTGTATGAGCCACACCCCATTTTATGACCTTTTTTGCCAGAGCTGTGAAGCGAATCTCTGCAGTTGTTAAGTGAATCCTGTGGTCATTAAGAGAATCCGGCTTCCCCCGTTGACTTTGCTTGTCGGACACTGGCTGGGAAGGTCGCAAATGGCGATCACACGATGCTGCAACTGTTGTAAATGTATGCTGATTGCCAAGCATCCAGATTTTGATCATGTGTCAATGGGGATGCTGCTATGGACGTAAGTGCAAGGACTTGGTCATAAGTCACTTTTTTCAGTGCTGTTGTGACTTTGAACAGTTGCTAAAAGAATGGTTGTAAGTTTTAAGTGAGGGCTATCTATACCAGGCGTCCTCAAACTTGGCAACTTTAAGACTTGTGGACGTCAAGTCCCAGAAGTGGCTGGAGTTGAAAAAAATTGCACCTCTTCATGTTCCCAAGTTGAGAAACACCAGACTAGTAAAAGCAAGGCACCATTACAGTGTTCATTTTACCTGTTGCTAACCTGAGTTTCCTCAGATGTTAGCACTTATGCAGGCCCAAACCCAGACAAAGTGGGTTAGTTTAAAACCAGATGAAACATATTGTGCAAATAAAGATCCTGTAAAAAAAAAAAATCCTCTTTCTAAGGATGCCTTTTAGCATCAGATCTAATTTATTCCTGAGGAAAACTCCCCAAGTGTCCATGGACCAGTCTCTCTAGATCAGGAGTAGGCAACCTTGGCTCTTTTATGACTCGTGGACTTCAACTCCCAGAATTCCTGAGACAGCCATGCTGAGGGGAAAGGGAGAGGTTTCCAAGCTGAGCCATGCTGGCTCAGGAATTCTGGGAGTTGAAGTCCTCGAGTCATAAAAGAGCCAAGGTTGCCTACCCCTGCTCTGTCATCTCTCTGGATAACATGTATACCACATGTTCCTGAATTAATACATTTTCTGCAGTCGCAAGCAAAATAACCTTATTATTCTCTGTTAACAACAGTGTAAATCCACAACCAGTCCTTCAGCTGGCTTTGGCCTTCATACTCATTCACTTCTTCCCATACAATTAGTATTTTGTAGTATCTTGGCGTAGTTTATGTGAGGATCCAGGCAGCGTGGTTTTTGGTAATTACTAATGAGAATTTTGTCAGTGTGCATATATTCTAAATATTTTCTAAATTTTGGCTTAGCACCCAATGTGCCGATAACTACGGGGCTGGTTTATGTCATAAATTCTTTCAATTTTGATTTTCAGAGCTTAATACTTGGCAATCCTCTCCAATTCTTTATCTTTTATTCTACTATCTCCTGCTAATGGCACATTAATTATCCACACTTTCTTCCTTTCGACCTCAGTTAAATCTGGTGTGTTATGAGATCAAACTTTATGGGCTTGTATTTGGAAATCCCTTAATATTTCAACTTGATCATGTTTGAGTACTTTTTCAACTCTATGTTCCCACTAATTTTTCTTTACTGTTATTGCTGTGGTTCATCGCACAGTCAGCCAGATGTTTGGACTGGATTTGACATTTTTATCCATTTTTTGAGTCCTTCCCAAGGACGTGGGACAGGCAGATGTTATTGTTTGGTGATGTTAAAGGTATCATTGCAGGATGGAAAATGGTTCCAAGTTGCTATTTTAACCAAAGGAGCAGAATAATGGGGAACCTGAACCCACTGAGCCCTGTATGCAGTGGTGGGATTCAAATATGTGAACAACCAGTTCTGTGTGGATGCCACTTCCGCAAGTCCATTCTGGGCCCAGTCAACAAAAAATTAGCTACCGGTTTTGCCAAAATGGTGCAAACAGGCTGAATCCCACCACTGCCTGTATGTAAATGCAGCAACTGTTTTTTTCACTTTATTAGCTGCTTTGGGGGGGGGGTCTACACCTTCTCTCTCAGCCCAGCCTTCCTCACAGGGTTGCTGTGGGAATAAAATTAGGAGCAGCCCAGTGTCCACAGCAGCCTTTTGCTTTCAGAGAAATGACAGGATATAAATACCTTCATGCAGAGGTCCCCAACCTTTCGGGCACCAGGGTCTGGATCCGTGGAGAGAGGGTTTTTTCCACGGACTGGAGGGGGCGTGGTTTTGTGTGCTGCCTGCATCTCGCGGATGGGGCTTTGCTTCTTTGTGCGGCATGCCATGCGGCCCGGTACCAGTCCACGGACCCGGGGGTTGGGGACCCCTGCCTTAATGGAGCCTCCTTCTAACCCGGAAGAGGCACTGGGCATTTCTAGGCTGAAAGATTCAGCTTTTTTCAGGAGCTTTGGAGCAGAAGGGCAAAGATGAGTTTTACAGCTTTTACAGGGAGGTGTTCTTCTTAAAAGGAACCTGCATTAGAATATTAGAATAACAGAGTTGGAAGTCTTCTACTCCAACCCCCTGCTCAGGCAGGAAACCCTATACCAGTGATGGTGAACCTTTTAGAGACCAAGTGACCCAAAACTGGTCCCGCCCCGCTCCATCCCCTGCCCCGCCCCGCCCCCACTCCACCCCCCATCCCCCGCCCCACCTGCCCACAGGACCACTCACCGCCTCCAGGGCCTGCTGCAGCGCTATGGCGGCCACACCCTCTGCCTGCGCCCTGCAGCATCAACTGCATGATGGGGTGTGAAGGCAGAGTCTTGTCTATGCTGCCTGGCTGCCATGTCCTTGGCTGCACTGCTCCATGTGGGCCACGCTTGGGGGGCGACTCTCCTCCTGGGGGGGCTGCTGGAGAAGAGGGGGTCATGGGGGGAGGCAAGACTGGGGCAACAGCACGTGTGCCCACAGAGAGGGCTCCGAGTGCCGCCTCTGGCACCCGTGCCATAGGTTTGCCACCACTGCCCTGTACCATTTCAGACAAATGGCTGTCCAATCTCTTAAAAATTTCCAGTGTTGGAATATTCACCGCTTTTGGAGGCAGGTCGTTCCACTGGTTAATTGTTCTCACTGTCAGGATGTTTCTCCTTAGTTCTAGGTTGCTTCTCTCCTTGCTTAGTTTCCACCCGTTGCTTCTTGTCCTGCCTTCAGATGCTTTGGAGAATAACTGGACTCCCTCTTCTTTGTGGCAGTCCCTGAGATATTGGAACACTGCTATCATGTCCCCCCTCGTCCTTCTCTTCATTAAACTAGAAATACCCAATTCCAGCAACCGTTCCTTATATGTTTATATACATGTAAGAGAAAGATATTCCTGAGCCATTTTCTTTGCAAACCAGGAGGATCAAAGCTGCCAAACCTAACTGGGGCTGAAATTGCTTTTATAGGGCAAGTAGTTGTGTCCATTCAGACCTCTCTCTCATACCTCTGAACCCCTGAATTGCAACTAGAAACCACACAAGATCACTGAAGGCAGAGCATCTTAAAAAGGCTATTATGGCACCAGAAAAGAGGCAGAAGGGAAGAGCCAAAATAATGGCTAGTTGACAACCAATATGATCCAATGGTTAAGGCATCAGGCTAGAAACCAGGAGACAGTGAGTTCTAGCCCTGCCCTAGGCATTAAAGCCATCTGGGTGAGCTTGAAATGGCTTTGGAAAGAGATTAACTAGACAGAGAAAAGAGAAAAAAAAAAGTCTAGAAATCACTTATCAAGACAGCTAATGGAACTTCCATATTACGTAGCAGTCTACTAATTTATCAGAGGTTATGGCAGAAGAAGACTATTAGTTTAACACCCCATTCTATTTGCTCGACCGATGCAAGAACTAAGATGCTAGACAAATTATTTACTGATTTATTATGGGAACAACACAGTTGTGATTATTGTTATCGCTTTCATCTGAGTTAAATAAATAAACTCAGTTAAATAGAGTTGTTCAATACAGTCTCATCTCTGACTTCTAGTTTGGTTAATTAATCATAACTGCATATTTCAGTTGATTTTAAAATCTTTGTAAACTGCATTGAGTATTTGCTCTGCAGAGAAAGGTGGGCTACACATTCAATCCCAGATAATTAAATCACATAAAACCAGAAGCCAAGGTACATTGGTGAGATGGAGTGCAAATTATTATTATGATTGGCAAATAGAGATATTTTCCCAACCCAAGGCCTTTCAGATGTTTTCCTCTCCTCAAAGAGGAATAAAAAAATGTGAGAAACAGAGTTTTTAAACATTTTACATTTTACTTTAACTTTATTTTAACTTTACTTTACTTTACTATTTACATTTACATTTACATTTACATTTACATTTACATTTACCTCACCTCACCTCACCTCATCTCACTTTACTTTACTTCACTTCAATGGAGGAAATCGGATTCACTTAATGATCGTATGATTCAGTTAATAACGGCAGTGATTCACTTAACAACCAGGGCAAAAAGGTTGTAAAATTGAATGTGACTCACTTAGCAACCATTAGCCATGGAAATTCTGGTCCCAATTGTCATAAGTCAAAGTCACAGCTGTGAATCAAGTCCTGCAAGTTTTCAGAAAGAACCCAAGCACAAATTTCAGCTTTCCCCAACTGGTGCCCACATTGGTTGCAGCAGATATAATTCCACCCTTCAGGCTATGAAAATATGCAGAAAATATGCAGAGATGAGACGGGATGTCTTTGGAAGCTGTGTTTTTTGTTTTTTTGTTTTACTCACTCAGCGTTTCTCATATGTTCTAGGAGGGGATCTTTCGCCCCAGATGCTAACAGAGATGAAGGAAACCAACAAAGCACTGAGAGAAATCAGAGAACTGTTAAAACAACAGGTAAGAAGGAAGAAGATGAGTCTTTTCTTTGCCAATTACCTTGATGTTTCTTTGTAACGGAAACGAAACAGAAATCTGCTGCATTTATCAGCTGCGCAGTTAAGAAATTAACTTGCTTGCTGGAAGTTTAATTGGGGGAAATGTTGAACCTGGGGGGGTGTGTGAAATGAGTTGTTTGCAGAACTCACAAAAAAGAGGGAGTGATTTAACACATGAAATAAGCTGAATTCCCATGATTCACTATCTTGTGGAAAACGAAAGGACTCTTACAAATTCCAGAGGTTTTTAGCAGAGAGATTTATTGCTCAGGTTCAGAAGCAATAGCAACAAGCAATTCTGAACCCCGAGGGCGGGTTCAGACTTCAGTTTTATACTTTCCTTTTTTCTCAGGAACAAAGAAATACACATTGTAATACATTAGATTCGTTTCTCACAGTATACAATGGAGAGTTTGCTACATACATTGTATCCAAGTGCAATGTGCATTAGGTTAATCACATACTACTAACACAGCACTATTCCAGTAATTATGCAGACACATCATTATTCTAATGATTGTTCATTATTCCACATTAACTATGCTGCTAAAAGAAAAAAAATTAGCCCCATTTTCAAACCTTTCTCAACCTTGGCAACTTTAAGCGATGTGAACTGCAACTCCCAGAACTCCCACACCGCTTAAAGTTGCCAAGGTTGAGAAGCACTGCGGCCTAACCCAGTGTAGCATGTTTCCCAAACACAAATATCGTCATCTAAAGATTTTACTTTGGCTCATACCATTTTGGGGCTGAGAGGGTTGCATAAATGCTAGTCCTTTAGGGAGGTTTATGCTTCAAGGTAAGTATGCAACTAGAGAGGTTTTAAAAAAAAATCAAGATGGCGGCCCCAGCCATTTGACTGAAGCCCCACCCTATTATATGTGCATTATGGCAGACATTAAAAAAAGGGGAGGGGGTGTTTCTTGCATGATTGAGCTGCCATCTTGACTTTTTTTTTACTCTACCCCGCATAGCTGAGGCCCAGAAAATGGGATAGTAACAACCAAGCAAAGGATTTTACGTGGAGTGGCAATTTCACTTGTTCGTCCTTATGCAAAGCAAACGAAAGCTGCTCCCCCCGCCAAATTTTTCCACAGAATAAAGATAGTCCTTGACTGAGAACCCATTCATTTAGTGACTGTTCAAAGTTACAATGGCACTGAAAAAAGTTTTTCACACTTAACGACTGTTGCAGCATCCTCAGGGTCACATGATCAAAATTCAGACCCTTGGCAACTGACTCGTGTTTATGACGGTTGCAGCGTCCCTTTTGCGACCTTCTGACAAGCAAAGTCAATGGGGAACCCAAATTCACTTAACAACTGTGTTATTAACTTAACAATTGCAGTGATTCATTTAACCACCGTGGTAAGAAATGGGGCATAATTCAGTTGACAACTGTCTCGCTGAGCAACAGAAATTTTGGGCTCAACTGTGGTCATAAATCAAGGACTACCTATAATGTTTAGGGTGCAAATAGGCATCCTTTTCTCAAGGCTATGGAGTACCCAACCGCGATAGAGGACAGTTGGAAGCTGAAAAAAATCAAAAGCTTAGTCTCTGGGAACACAAAAAAGGCTCCTGAAAAAGAGGGTATCTGGAGACAATCCCTCCCTTGGGCTTCCGGAAACTGGCTAAACAACAACAACAATAACAACAAAAAGTAAAATCTCTTAACTGTATGTACTAAATGGAACCTCCGCAGGCAGGAGCAGTTTATCTTTGACTATGAAAATTCAACTGTTGGCCTTTGGGGCCTACTCACCGATTTGCCTGAAGGACTCATATGGCCGCTGCTGACCTTTTCTGGTCCTGCTCTGTCTGCCTGCCTCTTATGCAACACCACATTCCTCATTCTCTTTTCCTCCCGCTGTTGGCTGTGGCCTCCTCCTGCCAGCTAACTGGAAAAACAGACGGGCAGACCCCGTGCCAGGACAAACTCCGGGCAGCAGCACAAGGGCTGGCGGGGGTATGGGAGGGTGGATGTGGGGATGTGGCTGCCATTTTGGCTTTCCACTCCTGCTTTGTCCTAAATAATCAGCCTCTGCAGCAGCCCTGGGTAGCAGTTGGGGAGAACTCCAGAGGCAGCGCTGGAGAAAGGATTAGTGGGAGTTGTGTGTGTCTAGTCACACACACATACTGCAATTCCCAGGACCCAGGCCATTTCTGTCAGCCTCGTGTGATACACCAGATAGGAATTGCCATTAGATGAGCGAATTCAACTTTAAGACGTATGGACTTCAACTCCCAGAATTCTCCAGCTAGTATGCTAGCTGAGGAATTCTGGAAATTGAAGTCCATACATCTTGACACTGAGATGGAGAAACACTATGAGCTTCGAGTCATCTTACGGAAGTCTAGCATGGTAGTACCTCCATGTGCAGAAACAGTCTACCTGAGGTTGGGAGGATTTCTGTAGATAGCCGAATGTTGAACTGGCTGGACCAGGGGTAGGCAACTTTGGCTCTTTTATGACTCATGGACTTCAACTCCCAGAATTCCTGAGCCAGCCATGCTGAGGGGAAAGGGAGAGGTTTCCAAGCTGAGCCACGCTGGCTCAGGAATTCTGGGAGTTGAAGTTCACAAGTCATAAAAGAGCCGAGGTTGCCTACCCTGCTGGACCTTCATCAAGATCCAACAAGGCAGTTCTTGTTCCCCGTTCCATCCCATTGATGACGATGACGTTATTCATTCAGTCGTGTCCAACTCTTGGCGATTCTTATGGACCAGGCCTCTCCATGTCTTCTGATCTTTTTTCATTACATAATCCCTTTTCAACAGAAGGAAGCTCACGGTCAGGTCCCACCTTCCCTTCTAACCATACTCATTCTGTAACCTCCTGTCTTTAAAATAAATTAAGTTTTTTAACATGCATTTGGCATGGAGGGAGGTAAGGGCCCTTTTTTTGCCCTGGGAAAGGACACTTCTGTCATCTCCGGCTTCCCTACAGGGACTGGGGCAAGTAGGCTAACTCAGTTCTGTTCTGTCCCATTCTCCAGCAAGGTCTGGATTTGATTAAGGAATTGAAAAAAAAGCCCAAATTGTATGGAAATTGTTTATTTTGCTAGAGTTAACTGTCTGCATTTTCACCAGACGGTTTGCTCACAAAGGCACCTTCATTCCCCTGTGTCCCAACGTTTCAGTTGGACTGAGCAAAGAGATCATCCACAATCCTTGACTTATGACCATTTATAACAGGGATCTTCAAACTTGGCTCTTTTATGACTTGTGGACTTCAACTCCCAGAATTCCTCAGCCAGGCACGCTGGCTGAGGAATTCTGGGAGTTGAAGTCCACAAGTCATAAAAGGGCCAGGTTTGAAGAACCTCAATTTATAATAACTTTTTGAAGTTATAAGGGCACTGAAAAAAGTCACTTATGACCAGTTTTCAGACTTACGACCATTTGCAGCATCCCCATGGTCATGCGATCAACATTTGAGGGCTTGGCAACTGGCATGTATTTATGATTGTTTGCTACAACAAGCAGTAATGATCAGGTTGGGGGTTAGAGCTGGAAGTTATTTATTTATTTATTTATTTATTTATTTATTTATTTATGAGACTTATATACCGCTTTAAGTGCAAGCACTCTCTAAGCGGTATACACCAGTAAGCAATGTATATATATTTACATTGCCCCCAACAATCTGGGTCCTCATTTTACCTACCCCCGAAGGATGGAAGGCTGAGTCAACCTTGAGCTGGTGAGATTTGAACCGCTGATCTGCTGAACACAGTCAGCTAAAGTGGCCTGCAGTACTGCACTCTAACTGCTGCGCCACCTCGGCTTGTTACTTCACAGCTTGCAAGAGGAAACAGGAAATGCTAGCTTGTCTAAGCCAGGGCTTTTCAACTTTTCAGAGATTATACCATTTTTAGGACATGACAATATTCAAGTACCACCAGTGCTTAGCAAGGGGTCAACTTGATGACTTAAAAAAGGGGGGGGGGATTTTGGGTTTTATTCTTACATTCATTTTTTGTTATAGAAACGGCTAGTTTATAATATGGAAAAGTACAAAGTTGAGGTTCAATATTAGTGCTTCCTTCAACTGCAACAGAGAAAGTCAGAAGTCAATGCCTTTTCTTTTGCTCTTCTTCCCCCACACTTTTTTCCTTTTTTCTTTCACCCTTCACTCGCAAAAGCCCCTTACTCTCTCTCTCACACACACACTTCTCCCAGAAAGCATTTCCCCCCCTCTCTTTCTCATCACCGCTTCTCTAACAAAAGCCTTTTCTCTTCTGTCTCTTTCTCTGGAGTTTTTTTTTCTCTACCTCTCCAGCCAAAACTGCCTCCTTTTATAGCAGTGGTTCTCAACCTGTGGGTCGGGACCCCATTTGGGGTCGAACGACCATTTCACAGGGGTCGCCAAACAACGCAGTCCGCCATTTTTTCCCCCTTTTCCTTAGCTGTGCTACTCCCTTTTATTCTATTGCTTTTGAAAGCCAATAGAATAGACTCTCTTGAATAGAGTCTAATTCTATTGGCTTTCAAAAGCCAATAGGAATTGTCCAGGCTGTCTCTGCCCTGCTGAGCCCGCCAAAAGTCCCATTCTGCAAACGGTGCTGCACCAGTTGAGTAGTCCTCGACTTACGACCGGTTGAGTAGTCCTCGACTTACAACTGGTTGGGGGTTGCGGCATTAAAAAGGTTAAGAACCACTGTTTTATAGCCTCTCCTGTCTCCGTCCCCCTCCCCCTCCTCTTTTCTCTCCTGGGTATGCCGGAAGTGCCGATCTTGGGGCTTTTGTCTTGGCCCAGCAGCCCTGCAGCTCCTGAGGACTCTCTTACAGCCAGTCCTGCACTGCACCGCTCGTTCCCTCCCCCGCTACTCTTGTCTAGGCTAGACAGGGTCGCATACCACCTGCCAGGTGCCAATATACCACCGGTGGCACGCATACTACTGATTGAAAAGCCCTGGTTTAAGCAACCGCTCTTCCAGGTGCAACCTTGGAGGGGTTTTGAACATTTAAGCAGGGTTAGACCTGGTGGGTTGTTAGATGGGAAATGTCCAACAACTGACGAGGTATAGTCCTGCTTAAATGTTCAAAACCCTGCAAGGTTGCAATAGAACAGAATATCTATAGTTCAGAGCTGAACCGTGGAGACTTTGGTGCACTCTGAGCTCGGTTGTTTGCTTCCAGACATTTCATCACCCAACTAGGTAACATCATTAGTGTCAGGGAATGTGGGGTTTGTTTCCTGCTTATATACAGCATTGGTGGGGTGTTGGTTTTCTTCTGATGGTAGCTTGATAAAATGTTTTCTGCTTGTCTTGGAGTAACATTAGACAACAATCAAGCAGGATTAACACTAATTATGTGAAGCAACAAACTCGGACAAACTTTATTTTAAGTGTTACCAAGTTTTGCTGTTACTAAAGATGATGAACTTTTTCCAATTACGATTTTCTGCAGATCAAAGAGATCACCTTTTTGAAGAACACCGTGATGGAGTGTGATGCTTGTGGTGAGTCCAGTTGAAAAGTGGCTGGTGTTGGTTTTAACACTCATGTTTTGAGTTTTGTAAAAACGAAAGGAGGAAAAAAAGGTTCTCTTGGCCAAGCCTTCAGTCTTGACCACCATCACTTGGATGTTTCCTGCAGGAATTAGATGACTGAGAACCAGAAATATTAAAAAACTATTAAAAGCTGGCAAAGCCAGTTTCAGATTGAAACATTTTTAATTGTTTTTTTTTTTTCCTGAGTGAGATCTTGCGTATCTCTCCTAAACTTTGCTTTGGCAGCACAATCAATGTTTTTGAAGTTAAATAATGTCCTACGCCAGAGATCTTCAAACTTGGCCCTTTTATGACCTGTGGACTTCAATTCCCAGAATTCCTCAGTCATAAAAGAGCCAAGGTTGCCTACCCCTGGCTTAGGTGATAGAGTTAGAACACGGGGCTTTTGTTTCTGCATTACAGGGTTTATAATTTTTTAAACATCTATTAAGGGTCTGTGGGCTGCACACTGCCAATTCCTTGATTTAAAGGGGTATTATTGTTGTCCACAAAAATTATTGCAGAAGGGAAAAGAACATCAGTGGCATGCGAGAGGAAAGCAGAGAAGGAGAAGGAAAAGAAGAAGGGGGGGAGCAGGAAGGGAAGGAGAAGGAAAAGAAAGAGCAAGAGGAAGGTCTGGGTGACTGCGCAACCAGCCACAACAATGATATTAATGGTCAAATCTCTCTCTCTCTCTCTCTCTCTCTCTCTCTCTCTCTCTCTCTCTCTCTCTCTCTCTCTCTCTCTCTCTCTCTCTCTCTCTCTCCCCAGGCTTGGACACCAGAGTGAGGGGCCCTCCAATCAATGTGACCCTATTTAACTACTGTTCACCGAATCCATGCTTCCCGGGGGTCACCTGCACCACCACACTGACCAGCTTCCATTGTGGGTCTTGCCCTCTGGGTTACACAGGCAATGGGACTCACTGCACCGACATTAATGAGGTCAGAGTCGGCTGCTGCTCCGAACAGGGACCTTGTCGCCAACCAGGCACTTCCAGAAGGAAGGGCTGAGGATCGGGCAGGGCCTGGCTGCTTTGAAGGGTCAGACTCCAAGAGCCTTTCTTGGATCCAAACCAGATTTTTCCTCTGGAAGAAAAATAGGAAATTTCTGACTGTCCCTTAAACCAGGAGATTGTGAGTTCTAGTCCCTCCTTAGACAATGAAAGCCTGCTGGGTGACTTTGGGCCAATCACAAGGGAACGGAGAGTTCTAGTCTTGCCTTAGGCATGAAAGCCACCTGATTCCAGAGAATCAGTGATTAATATATGTGTGTGTGTGTGTGTGTGTGTGTGTGTGTGTGTGTGTGTATCTATATCTATATATGTATGTATGCATGTATACAGCATGTGTATATGTGTGTTATGTATGTGTATGGGTTGATATAGACCAGGGGTAGGCAACCTTAGCTCTTTTATGACTTGTGGACTTCAACTCCCAGAATTCCTGAGCCAGCATGGGGTCCCTTCATGACTTGTGGACTTCAACTCCCAGAATTCCTGAGCCAGCATGGCTCAACTTGGAAACTCCCTTTCCCCTTAGCATGGCTGGCTCAGGAATTCTGGGAGTTGAAGTCCACGAGTCATAAAAGAGCCCAGGTTGCCTACCCCTGATATAGACTTTCTTTAGAGAGCCAGCAACAAAATTTCCTTTTTAATGTGTGCCAGTGTGCTCACAGAAAAAAAAAAAATGAGAATAAAGGTTATCTTATCTTCATAGCATCCCACCCCATTTGTGGACCGAAGAGATACAAGATGGCTTTAAGCTATTTTATAGTTCTTTCAGGTCACTGGGGTCCAAGGCACTGGTGGGGGCAGCCTCTACCCATCTCAGAAATGCCCACTCCTAACAGGGCATCTGGATGGGTGGGCAGCAAAGCCTCGGTTTCCCTCTTGGTCCCCAACGGGCGCTTCTTCTCTCTGCAGTGCACAGCCAACCCCTGCTTCCCCAGAGTCCGCTGCGTCAATACGGCCCCTGGTTTCCACTGCGAATCCTGTCCTCCTGGCTTCAGAGGGCCAGGCCTCAGAGGAGTCGGTTTGGCCTCTGCCAGGGCCAAGAAACAGGTAAGGAGGATTTTCTCCACTGAGGCAAATTTTTAACATGGGCAGCGCATAGAGCAGTGGTTCTCAACCTTTCTAATGCCGTGACCCCATAATACAGTTCCCCATGTTGTGGTGACCCCCAAGTGGGTGTGGCCACCAATAAGAGGGAGTAGGACAGCTAGGGAAAAGGGGAAAAAATGGTGGACAGCGTGGTTTGGCGACCCCCGTGAAATGGTCATTCGACCCCAAATGGGGTCCCGACCCACAGGTTGAGAACCACTGGCATAGAGGTAATCCTCGACTTACGACCGTAAGTCACGTCGGTCATTAAGCGGGTCAGCACATGGCTGATTTTATTACCATTTTTGCAGGGGTCATTAAATGAATCCATTGATTGCAAGGTTTCTGCCCCCCCAAAAATAGACTGTGGTCACATGACTGTGGGATTCTACAGACGGCCACAAATGTGGGCCAGTGGCCGAGTGGCCCAAATGCAATCATGTGCCCTTGGGGTGGGGTGGGGGCCAGCTGCCCAAACTTCAAATCTGGGTCAGGAGGAGCCCTGGGGAGGTCTGTCATAACCTAATAGTCATTAAACAAACGGTCATAATTTTATAATCTTTTCTGGCAATCGTTAAACACATGAGGCAGTCATAAAGTCGTTAAGCGTACTCTTTGTTTGCTATGGGTGTTTCTTGCCAGAAACTGGGAAGGAATGCCGATTTCCAGAAAAAATGTCGTGAATCACAATCACATCACCGTGGGATGCTGCCGAAGGCAATGCCAGCTGGTTGCCAAGTGCACTAAATGTGATCACGTGACCACGGGGAGGGGGTTGGCCTGGCTATCAAAACTTCAAAATTCGGATCCTAAGTACTTTTGGGGGGGGGGAGTCCATTTTAATGTTGAACAATTGCTAAGTGCCCAGTCATAGATCAAGGGCGACCTGTAGAAATAGTCCTTGAGTTACAACTGCAATTGAGCTAGACATTTTGTTGCTAAGGGAGACAGTTGTTAAGTGAGTTTTGCCCCATGTTATCTCCTTTCTTGCCACAGTTGTTAAGTGAATCACTGCAGTTGTTAAATTAGTAACACGGTTATTAAGTGAATCTGGCTCCCCCATTGACTTTGCTTGTTAGAACAGTGGTTCTCAAACATTTTATACCAGCGACCCTGGTCATAAGGACGCGCTGCGCATGCGCGGTGCGGCACGCATGCCTGGCAGCACCCCCATGCATGCCCCGCATGCCTGGTGGCACCCCCATGCACACCCGCATGCGTAGTGGCACCCCATGCGTGACGCGCATGCACGGCGGCACCCCCATGCACACCGCATATGTGCGGTGGCACCCCCACGCAGGCGCATATGCACGGTGGCACCCCATGCACGACGCGCATGTGCAGTGCTGCCCCCATGTGCCACTCATGCGCGGCGTGCATGCACGGCACCGCACACATGCGCGGTGCCGCCAGCTGAGGAAATAAATGGCGGATCGCGTTGTTTGGCGACTTCCGTGAAATGGTCGTTCGACCCCAAATGGGGTCGCGACCCACAGGTTGAGAACCGCTGTGTTAGAAGATCGCAAAAGAGGATCACATAACACTACAACTATCATAAATATGAGTCAGTTGCCAGGTGTCACAATTCTGAACACATGACCATGGTGATGCTGCAACAGCCATAAGTATGACAAATGGTCATAAGTCACTTATTTCAGTGCTGTTGTAACTTCGAACGGTCACTAAATGAATGCTTGTAAATCATATAATGTTCCCATCATTGGAATCCCACCCTTCCTCCCGATTTCTGTGTGTTTGGTTTACCAAACAGTTGCTGGAATTGGGTGTGTCTAGTTTAATGAAGAGAAGGACGAGAGGGGACAGGTTAACAGTCTTCCAGTATCTCAGGGGCTGCCCCAAAGAAGAGGGAGTCAAGCTATTTCTCCAAAGCGCCTGAAGGGTGGAAACTAACCAAGGAGAGAAGCAACCTAGAACTAAGGAGAAACTTCCTGACAGTTAGAACAATTAACCAGTGGAACAACCTGTCTCCAAAAGCAGTGAATGCTCCAACACTGGAAGTTTTTAAGAAGAGACTGGACAGCCATTTGTCAGAAATGGTATAGGGTTTCCTGCCTGAGCAGGGGTTGGACTAGAAGACCTCCAAGGTCCCTTCCAACTCTGTTCTTCTATTCTAAACAGGTCTGTACTGATGTCAACGAATGCGAGGAAGGAACTGCCAGACTCTGCGTGCCAAAGTCCGTCTGCATTAACACCCTGGTAACTGTTCTTCACCACTTTGTCTCATTGCCTTCTCAGAAGACCATTTGTCAGAAATGGTGTAGGGTTTCCTGCCTGAGCAGGGGGTTGGACTAGATGACCTCCAAGGTCCCTTCCAACTTTACTATTATTATTATTATTATTATTATTATTACTATTATTATTATTATTATTATTATTATTATTATTATTATTATTATTATTAACTGGACTTTATTACCTCCAGAGTGGGAGGGGAAAAATTGGACCAACCTTCTCCAACTTGGTGCTCCCTTCTTCTCTCCTTCCTTCTCTTTGCAATTTGATCTTCATGGGTTGCTTAGCTTTTCCAAGATTAGTGAATCTCATTAAGAGCCACCAGCTGCAGGCCATTCTTTTGACTCATTGCTTCCATGCCACTGATGTTTCAGAAGAGAAGGGCTGGTGTCCAGACAGCCATACTGGCCTAAACTTCCTGTTGTGTCTGGGTTTGGATGAGCATCAGAATGCATGTCCCATCGTAAGCTGTGAATGGCTTCCGGAATTGGACATGCGTTCACCGAAAACCGGGGAAAGAATCTAAGTTTGGAAGTTCCATTTGAGCATGTGCTGCTCTGGAGCCAGTGGGATTCTGTCAATCTCAGAGCATTACCACCCATTTGGAGGCTTTAAATCAGGGGCGACCAACCGTGGCAACTTTAAGATTTGTGGACTTCAACTCCCAGAATTCCTCAGCCAGCCAAGCTGGCTGGGGAATTCTGGGAGTTGAAGTCCACAAGTTGCCACGGTGGGTCGCCCCTGGTTTAAATGAAAAGCAGAAAAAAAGCATTTTGAGGTTTGTTGGTGTTCTCTAAAGCATGGTTGTTTTTTGTGCATTTTTCATTATCAGGCTAGATAACATCTGTGCAAGGGAGAGTGGGCTTTGCTGCCTATTTATACATTAGCTTGTCATGTCAATTTTCTTCTACCTTAGTTCCTTAATTAAGGCATTATTTTTTGCCTGATTATTCACCTGGTGCCATTTCCTGCATCTCTGCTGGGGAAGATGTGCTCTGGGCCGTTTCCTCCCTTTCTAGACTTTTGGTTATTATGTCTTTTAAATGGTCAGTGGGTGGGGCTTAACTAGGCGGCTGTTTTATGTGTGCTGATTGGTCAGAATGGCCAAAGAGTTTTCAATTGGGTGAGCAGCATCTCCCATTGAAAGCAATGGGTGCGCTTCAGACTTAACAGGAGTCACTACATCAGGGGTCTTCAAACTTGGCCCTTTTATGACTTGTGGACTTCAACTCCCAGAATTCCTCAGCCAGCATGCCTGGCTGAGGAATTCTGGGAGTTGAAGTCCACAAGTCATAAAAGGGCCAAGTTTGAAGACCCCCTGCATTACATCATCAGAGGCAGCAGGATTTAAGTGTAAGACTCCACTTAGAATACTGCAGCCAGTTTTGGTCACCATATTATAAAAAAGATGTTAAAACTCTGGAAAGAGCAATAAAGATGATTAGGGGACTGGAAGCTAAAACATACAAAGAACGGTTTATTTATTTATTTGACTTATATACCGCTTAAGTACAAGCACTCTCTAAGCAGTGTACACCAGTAAGCAATGTATATATATATATTTACATTGCCCCCAACAATCTGGGTCCTCATTTTACCTACCCCGGAAGGATGGAAGGCTGAGTCAACCTTGAGCAGGTGAGATTTGAACCGCTGACCTGCTGACCACAGTCAGCTAAAGTGGCCTGCAGTACTGCACTCTAACTGCTGCGCCATCTCGGCTGCAGGAATTGGGTTTGTCTAGTCTAGTGAAAAGAAGTAGAGGTGACATGATAGCCATCTTCCAATATTTGAGGGACTGCCACAAAGAAGGGGTAGTGGTGGTGGTGTCAACCTATTTTCCAAAGCACCAGACGGGAAGATAAGAAAGAATGCGAGAAGGAGGGAGAAGCAACCTAGAACTAAGGAGAAATTTCCTGACCGTGAGAACAAATAATCCAGGGGTGTCAAACTCAGTTTCACTGAGGGCCGCATCAGCATTGCAGTTGCCCTGGGCGGGCTGGGTGGGTGTGGCCAGAGTAGGTGCAGCCTACTGGGTGGGCATGGATGGAGTGGGTGTGGCCTACTTGGTGGGCATGGCCAGTTCTACATTGTTCGCGTCAAGGTTGCCTATGGGGGTCTGGGCAGGAGTGGGACAGATCTGAGGGTCTCTGGCAGAAAGGGGTGGGACCGGGGCGAGTGCCAAGGCATGGTCCACTGGGGCAAGTGCCAAGATGGCCACCACAAAATTGTATATTGGCTCCCGGCTGGCCTGGGCCAGGGCCAAGGCTGTGGGGGCCATTCCCTCACTATTTCCAGGATGGCTTTGCGGGCCACATGAAACCACTTCACAGGCCGCATCTGGCCCCCAGGCCTTGTGTTTGACATGTCTGAAATAACCAGTGGAATGACTCGCCTCCAGAAGTTGTGGCTGCTCCAACAGTGCAGGTTTTTAAGAAGAGATTGGACAACCACTTGTCTGTAGTGGTATAGCAGGGGTCTTCAAACATGGCCCTTTTATGACTTGTGGACTTCAACTCCCAGAATTCCTCAGCCAGCGTGCCTGGCTGAGGAACTCTGGGAGTTGAAGTCCACAAGTCATAAAAGGGCCAAGTCTGAAGATCCCTGCGGTATAAGGTTTCCTGCTCGAGTAGGGAGAGGACTAGAAGATCTCCAAGGTCCCTTCCAGCTCTGTTATTTCTGCAAGGGACTTTCTGTAAAGGATAGAAAAGGTGGAGAGAAAGTGAAAGTGGAGAGAAGGTCTCACAAGAGTAATTGAGCTGGTTTCACCCATCGGTTGGGAGACAAATGCCAATCCAGTGGGTTGACTGCCACATTTCCTCCTGCAGGGCTCCTACAAATGTGGGGCGTGCAAGAGTGGCTTTGAAGGCAATCAGATTTCTGGCTGCCGGATCAAGACCAAGCGCCGTTGCCCCAACGGTCAACCCAGCCCTTGTCACGAGAAAGCAGAGTGCACTGTCGAACGGGATGGGGCTCTCCTCTGCAAGGTGAGTTGGAGGCTTTCCCTGGTTCCTCACCGGCTTCCCAAACAGTCCCACGATTTGGGAAAGGGATTTTGAAGTTTCTCGTTCACCAACGGTGGAAAGGCCCTGTGTTTGCTGAACTGCTCAGAACCTGTTTTAGGCTCAACACCGAGGCACACTCAGCCTCCCCAGTACAGAGTGCCTTTGGGTGGAGAAGCTGTCAAATTCCAGTCAGATTCCATCTGTAGAGCGGGAAAGGGCTGCGTAAGTAATTTATTTTAGGAAAAGAAGAATGTTAAAGCTGCTAGCAAAGGAAGGACAAAACCGTTGACCAAGGCAGATCGTAAGGTGACATACATATTCCTGGACTCTGTTAGAAGTAGAGGCTAATCCAGGACATGAGAAGGAAGGACTCACTGGAGAAGAGTCTAATGCTGGGAAAGATTGAGGGCAATAGAAGAAGGGGACGACAGAGAAGGAGGTGGCTGAATGGAGTCACTGAAGCAGTAGGCATTGAGCTTAAATGGACTCCAGAAGATGGTAGAAGACAGGAAGGCCTGGAGGAACGTTGTCCATGGGGTTGTAATGGGTCGGACATGACTTCGCAACTAACAACAATCCAGGGCACTGGAGCCCTTGGCACTCGTTGAGCTTGGTTGTTTTCTTGCAGACGTTTCATTACCCACCAGTGCTGCCCATTACCTATTGAGCAATGAAATCCAATATTTTCTGGACAAAAACAACCAAGCTCAGAGAGCACCAAGGACTCTACAGTTCAGCCCTGAACTACAAATATTCTATTGATAATTCAGGACTTGATTGAGTTATTGTTCCCAGGTGATGGTGAGAGTGATGAGGATTTGAATTTGGCTCCCCTTCCCTGTCAGGAATGTCCCGTATCTGGGCCTGTCTCAATTTAGAGCCATTTTTTTTTTTCCTATTGGGAGATGGTGGCAAGGATGGGCATTCACAATTCCTTCTGCTTCTAGTGCATCGTCGGGTGGGCTGGAAATGGCTACATCTGTGGAAGAGATACAGACATTGATGGGTTTCCAGATGAGAAGCTTCATTGCAATGATGAAAAGTGTCAGAAGGTAAGAGACCTCCTTTGAGTTAGGGTCCTCAGCCCATGGGCTGAACCACTGCTGGTTTCATCTGCTTCTCCTGCTATGGTGGGAGTCAAAAAAAAAAAAAGATGCCGAGATCCTAGAAAGAGTGCAGAGATGCGCAATAATGGAGATAAAGGATCTGGAGGCCAAATCGTATCATGAATGGTGGAGGGAGCTAAGTACGTCTAACTCAAGTGTCTCTCAACCTTGGCAACTTGGAAGATGCTGGCTGGGGGAATCCTGGGAGTTGAAGTCTACCCATCTTCAAGCTGACACGGTTGAGAAACACTGCCCTAACCTATGTAAGAGAAGAATCAGCGGGGCATGATAGCTGTCTTCCAATACTTGAGAGGTTATCACAAAGAAGAGAGGATTGATTTATTCTCCAAAGAGCCAGAGGGCAGGACAAGAAGAAATGGGTGGAAGCTTGTTAAAGAGAGACCAGACTTAGAAGTAAGGAGAAATTTTCCAACAGTGATAGCAATTAATCAGTGGAATACCTTGCCGCCAGAACTGTGGGTGCTCCATCACTGGAGATTTTCAAAAATATTTGAATTTGACCAGGATGTTATATAAAGCCTCCTTACTTGAACAGATGGTTGGATTCAATAGTGGGATTCAGCCGGTTTGCACCAGTTCAGCAGAACCAGTAGCTAATTTTTTATTGCCCAGGCCCAGAATGGAAGCGGCATCCACACAGAGAACTGGTTGTTCACATAGTTGAATCCCAGCACTGGTTGGACTAGTCACTAGAATACTTCCAAGATCCCTTCCAGTCCTATAATTCTATGTTCTATCCAAGGCAGGGGAGTAAGAGGCAGGGAAATAAGTGTGGGAGTGTGTGTGCTATTTCAGTAGTGTAATCTCTGCTATTTTGGGGTGGAGGGGAGAAAAGTCACAGAAAAACTGACATTATGGAGAGAAACACAGACATAGAAGCATCAGCCTAACATTTTTCTGTCCTGGTAGTTTTGACTTACGACCACATTTGTGATCAGAATTTCCCATTACCGACCAAAGCAATTGTTATGTTAGCCACGCTCAATTTTACACCCTCTTTTTGCCATAGTTGTTAAGTGAATTGCTGCAATTTTTAAGCGAATCACATAATAATTACGCAAATCTGATCCTCCCCCATTGACTTTTGCTTGTTAGATGCCAGCTGGGAATTGGCAAATGGCAATCACATGATTCTTCGGGATGCTGCAATCATTGTAAATTCAGGCTGGTTGCCGAGCACGTCAATTTTGTTCATGTGAATTGGGGGAATGTTGCAAATGGTTGTAAGTGTGAGGACTGGTTGTAAGTCCCTTTTTTCAGTGCTGTTGTAATTCTGATGGTCACTAAATGAATGGTTGTAGGTCAAGAACTACCTGTATACATTAATGACCCAGTTCGAACAACAAAGCAATTTTATTCAGTCCTTCTTAAACGTTCTCAGAGGAATTCAGTGTGCATAAAACAAAATGATTTATTGTGTAAGCCCCCCCGGAAATTAATTTCACATGGCTTAAGCAACACTCTGTCTGTTTTACCAAGATATCCAAATCCCCATTCTGGAGATCATGTAAATAACTCATAGACTTGTCTTCAGCTTCTTTGATCTTTTTATATGAAAAATTTCTGGCTATAATTAATTCCGCCAACACCTCTAACTGCAGCAATAACATCTGGAGCAAATAGACCAAATGACAAATGTTCAATAAACTGCCAAGAAAATATTCTGAGGTAAATCAACCTCTTTTTTAATTCTGCACAGGCCTTTCTTTGAAAGTGAGTTAATTCAAAATAATAAAACTCCAAGAGGCCCTGTTTACTGCTTCCCACAGAGGTAAACACCATTTTAAAACTGAAATTGTCTTGGGATATAACTGTTCACAAATAAACAGGTTACAGTTATAACTATGACCCAATAATTTCCATGCAATCAAGGCATCCCAATATTTATTAGCATTTAAGTGGGGTCAGAAGCCTTGAGTTGAAAACAGAGCTGAGTTGTGAAATTGTTATTTCAGCCAGCAAGTGAAGCTGGGATAAACTTCATGATTACTGAAAGTGTGGAAAATTAAATCCACCTTTCTCAATTCATACTTGTAATTGGAAATGAAAATTTTGCAGGATGTCTTTGACAATTAAATGCACTCAATATCCTATACATTTGTTAAAATTAATACGATGGAAAGATTAATCCGTAACAGCGATTGAGCTGAATTTACCTTAACTTCATTTCTCCTAAACCAAATACTCCAAGAATTCTAAGACACCATTATAAATCAGTTTTTTTCAAACTTGGCAACTTTAAGATGTGTGGACTTCAACTCCCAATCAGCAAAATCAGGATGGAGGCCATGTCAGTGAGATTGAGGCTCTGTGATGCCCCCATCCCAGTGGTGGGATTCAGCCGGTTTGCATCACTTCAGCAGAACCAGTAGCTAATTTTTTGAGGCCCAGAATGGACTTCCGGAAGCAGAACCAGTTGTTCACATATTTGAATCCCACCTCTGCCCCTCCCCCCGCAAAAGACAGGGATTTGATTACACTGTTGTGCCCACCATCTTGACTCTTTTGACCACATCTTAAAGATACTCCTAGAACTGCACTTCTTTTGATGTATTTGGGGGAATTGGGGTTTTTTTTAAAAAAAATGAAATTATTGGACAGTAAACCTCTGAGATCCGACTGTTGTGGTGCAGAAGTCACAGGAACAAATGAATACTAATTCAAAAAATAAATAACTTAATTTTCTTGGCACACACAGACCAACATAGTTCAAATCTAATAACTGAGAAACTATTTTGCCAAGTAGTTCAAAGCCAGCGTCACGAAAATTGTATCTTGCATGACGGCTGGCACTCTTAGACTGAGAGGAAATCTCTCCCCAAAAATTTGGTCTAGCGGTTAAGGCAACAGAAGTCAGGAGATTGTGAGTTCTAGTCCCTCCCTAATTACGAAAACTCTCTGGGTAACTTGAGGCTAATCTCACCAGGAGATGGTGAGTTCTAGTCCCTCCCTAATCATGAAAGCTGGCTCGATGACTTGAGGCCAATCACCAGGAGATGGTGAGTTCTAATCCCTCCCTAATCATGAAAGTTGACTGGGTAACTTGAGGCTAATCACCAGGAGATGGTGAGTTCTAATCCCTAATCATGAAAGCTATCTGGGTGACTTCAGCCAATCACCAGATGGTGAGTTCTAGTCCTGCCTTAGGCATGAAAGCTGGCTGGATGACTCTCTCTCAGTCCAATCCACCTCACAGGGTTGTTGTGAGGAAAATAAGAGGAGAAACAGCATTGAGTTTGTTCACAGCCTTGAGTTAATTATAAACAAAATAAAGGTGGGATACAATTTTTTTTTAAAGTGACATTTCCTCTTTTTTGGTCCTTCAGGATAACTGTGTGACGGTTCCCAACTCCGGCCAAGAAGATGCTGACAGGGACGGGATCGGCGATGCCTGCGACGATGATGCTGATGGAGATGGGATAAACAACTCAGAGGTTAGAACTCCTCCTAACAGGGACCAGTGGTCTTCAGCCTGTTTCCCTCCCGTATTTCCTAAGACCAAAGAATCCTTGTTCTAACTTCAAGGAGACCCATTCAAACATTATATCAGGGCTGTCCAATTTTGGTGACTTTAAGACGTGTGGACTTCACTCCCAGAATTCCCCAGCCAGCATAGCTGGCTGGGGAATTCTGGGAGTGGAAGTCCACACGTCTTAAAGTTGCCACGGTTGGACACCCCTGCATTGTAGCTTGTATGATGCCTAAAGAGAACATCCGCAGTTTGGGAACATGATGTCCACTACTTCAACTTGAGATTTCTCCAACTTATCCTGCTTGCCAGCTTTCCTTGAAACATCTCCCTGTTTATTTGCAGGGAAAAACCAATATCTCAACAAGCAGGTTTTTTGTCAGTCGCTCCATTTTTTTTATTTTTTATTTTTGCAAAGCTGTGCTGTTTTTCTCATTTCTTTCTTTGACGTGCGAATCCTTCCCCCTGCAGGACAACTGTGTGTTTGTGCCCAATGCGAACCAGCAAAACGCAGACCAAGACAACTTCGGGGATGCTTGCGACAACTGCCGAAATATCAAGAACAACGACCAATGGGACAGTGATGGCGACGGATGGGGAGATCTGTGTGACAACGACATGGATGGGGACCGTGAGTTTGGGCTGGGCTCAGAAAGTGGGTGATTTAAAAAAATAAATATTTTCTCCAGTTTCACAGAGCAAGATCACCAATTCTTCACGCTTTGTTGAAGATACAGGTAGTCCTCAACGTACGGCCATAATGGAACCTGGCAACTATGGTCGTAAAGTGGATCGCCACATGACTGGACCCGATTTTAGGACCTTTTTTATGGCAGTTGTTGTGAACCTTACAGTCATTAAGCAAACCCATTGTTTATTATGGAGCATTTCCCCCCTGAAACTCTGGTTTCCAGGAAAAAAAATGTCACAAATCACTGTGACTGGTAAATGCGGAATGGTTACTGAGCACACCGATGCAGCAATATGACTATGGGGAGGGGGGGGGGAAATGAACATTGGAATTTCAGAACCAGATCATCAGTAACTTTTGGGGAGGGGGTCCATCAGCACTTTGAATGACCACTAGAAGTTTCTTTTAATGAAGAGCAAACTGCGAGTCCCCTGGACTGCAAGGCGATCAAACCGGTCAGTCCTAGAGGAGATCAACCCTGACTGCTCTTTAGAAGGCCAGATCCTGAAGTTGAAACTCAAGTACTTTGGCCACCTAATGAGAAGGAAGGATTCACTGGAGAAGAGCCTCATGCTGGGAAAGATTGAGGGCAATAGAAGGGGACGACAGAGAATGAGGTGGCTGGATGGAGTCACTGAAGCAGGAGGCGTGAGCTTAGATGGACTCCAGAAGATGGTAGGGGACAGGAAGGCCTGAAGGAACATTGTCCATGGCAGGGGTGTCAAACTCAATTTCATTGAGGGCCGCATCAGTATTGCAGCTGCCCTCAGGGGGTCAGGTGGGTGTGGCCAGGGTAGGTGTGGCCTACCAGGTGGGCATGGATGGAGTGGGTGTGGCCTACTGGGTGGGTGTGGCCAGCTCTACATCGTTTGCTTCAAGGGGGCCTGTGGGGTCCTGGGCAGGAGTGGGACAGATCTGAGGATCTCTGGCAGAAGGGGTGGGACTGGGGCAATTGCCAAGGCATGGTCCACTGGAGGAGCCTCACTATTCCTCTCAGGTCATGCGGGGGGGGGGGGGGGCTTATGGAGCTAAGACTGAATGCATTTCACCATAGATGGCCACCACAAAATTGTACATTGGCTCCTAGCTGGAGTGGGCCAGGGCCAAGGCTGAGGGGGCGGCTGTTCCCTCACTGTTTCCAGGATGGCTTCACGGGCCACATGAAACCACTTCGCGGGCCACATCCGGCCCCCCGGGCCTTGTGTTTGACATGTCTGGTCCATGGGGTCGTGATGGGTCAGACACGACTTCACAACTAACAACAACAAACTAAAAATAGTATGTATAATATTTTTTACTTTGCTCTTTATTAAAAGAAACCTCTCAAATATAACCATTTCATGATCCCTATAATCTGACAAGTGTGATGCTGGGGTGACACCCCCCCCAAATTTCCCAGCTTTGTCACAACTGAGGCTTAGGAGCAGAGATTATATTTGTGCCCTGTGGGCCCAGCAACTGCCACATTCTTTGCTTCTTATGGTTGCTGTTTCACTCTTTTCTCCAGAAATCAAAAATATCCTGGACAACTGTGTGAGGATCCCTAACAAAGACCAAAAGGACACCGATGGGGATGGAGTTGGAGATGTCTGTGACAGCTGCCCCTTCATCAGTAATCCAGATCAGGTGAGACGTTGGCTTGGATTCATACAGTATGCTACTGTATGAATGGCCCAAAAGACTGCAATTGCTAAGGATAATAGCAATAACATTTAGACCAGGGGTCTTCAAACTGGGCCCTTTTATGATTTGTGGACTTCAACTCCCAGAATTCCTCAGCTAGCGTGCCTGGCTGAGGAATTCTGGGAGTTGAAGTCTACAAGTCATAAAAGGGCCAAGTTTGAAAACCCCTGATTTAGACTGTCATGCTGCCCCATAGTGCTTTGCAGCAGTTCCTGGGCGGTTTACAATATTTGCATTTTTTGTGCATAGGAAATGGTGTCAGAAAAGGGTAAAACTCTGTGACCTATTAAATTGCACTCTTTAGAGCAGGGGTGTCAAACTCAATTTCACTGAGGGCCGCATCAACATTGCAGTTGCCCTTGGGGGGTCGGGTGGGTATGGCCAGGGTGGATGCAGCCTACTGGTGGGCATGGAGGGAATGGGTGTGACCTACTGGGTGGGCATGGCCAGCTCTACATTGTTCGCGTCAAGGGTGCCTGTGGGGGCCTGGGCAGGAGTGGGACAGATCTGAGGGTCTCTGGCAGAAGGGGTGGGACTGGGGCGAGTGCCAAGGCATGGTCCACTGGAGGAACCTCACTGTTCCTCTCAGGCCATGTGTGTGTGTGGGGGGGCTGGATGGTTGTGCGGGCTGCCTGGAGCCCTGGGCAGCAGAGGTCAAATGCCCAGCCTGGCCCTCAAGCACCCATGGCACCAAGCCCAGCCCCACTTCCCCAAGAGGGTGCCCAGCTGCACTTACCTCCTCCTCAAGGCTGCTGCTGCTGTGCTGCTCTCCTTAGCCATGTTGTTCATGATGGGTACCAGGGCAAAGTCAGAGGGAGACTGAATGCGTTTCAGCATAGATGGCCCCCACAAAATTGTACATTGGCTCCCGGCTGGTGGGCCTGGGCCAGGGCCAAGGCAGTGGGGGCCGTTTCCTCACTATTTCCAGGATGGCTTTGCAGGCCACATGAAACCACTTCGCGGCCGTATCCAGCCCCCGGGCCTTGTGTTTGACAGGTCTGCTTTAGAGAGATCTCTCCTGGTCTCTGAATACTACCTCTTTTAGCTCTGCCCTGGATTATTTGTTAATCTAGCTCACGGGTCTTCAAACTTGGCCCTTTTATGACTTGTGGACTTCAACTCCCAGAATTCCTCAGCCAGCAACACCAAGTTTGAAGACCCCTGATCTAGTTCATTAAAGGTAGTCCTCAACTAATGATTATAATTGAGCCCCAAATTTGTTACTAAGTGAGACAGTTGTTAAGTGAGTTTTGCCCCATTTTATGACCATTCTTGCCACAGTTGTTGTGAATCACTGCAGCTGTTACATTAGTGACATGGTGATTAAGTGAATCTGGCTTCCCCATTGACTTTGCTTGTCAGTCACAAAAAGGGATCACATGACCCTGGGATGCCGCAACCGTCATAAATATGAGCCAGTTGCCGAGTGTCTGAATTTTGATCATGTGACCATGAGGTTGCTGCAACGTGTCATAAGTCACTTTTTTTATTGTTGCTTGTTGCTCGGGACACCCAATACAGATGATTTTTGACTTACAACCATTTGTTTAGTGACCACTTGATCCAGAGGGTGAAATGGGGTCTCTGCTCTGCTGTGACAAAGCTAGGAAATTTGGGAGGGCACCCCAACATCACACTTGCCAAATTATATGTATCGTGGCATGGATACATCTGTCACATTTTAAATTTGTTGTAACATTGAGTGGTCACTAAACAAATGGTTGTTATATAAGTCGAAGACCACCGAGCAATAAGCATTGTCCAAGATCTTGAACAGACAGCAATTTTTTTCCCAGCTTTTTTTTCCTAAGAATGTTTTGGAACAGAGGTACTAGATTTGATGCATGATAAAAGGTTTACGGCTAAGCTGAGGCCCATCCCAAATTAAATTGGAGTTTGAGAAAAGTTGCAGAAAGGTGAATTCTGCAGTAGTTCCTGGAATTACACAATGTCCAGCTAACAGATTGATTCCAAGACCTGTCTTGTCCTTGCAAATCCTTCCAATCAAACTTTCCCTGCTTTAATTGGAATGTCATTAGTCATAATTTGGGATGGTGCCCTGGGTTTTTCATTCTCCTGGGTAAATAAGCCTGGAAAATCCAGTACAGGATAAAACCTTTGTAACTTTTGATTGTGGGAAGCCACCTGCTTCAAATCTTTTTGTAAACAACTATAGCTTAAACAATTCAATAGAAATGTCAGTTGAGAGCGAGGGTAGGTTTATGAATTTGAGACTTTATGGGAAAAATTTTGGAGGTAGAGGTGTTGATAGAAGTGGAAAATGTTTTACACAAAACATTCAAGAATTTCAAGTCTGCATTTGATAAAAGCATCTTAGGGAGGTTTTTAAAGCAGTGGTTCTCAACCTTTTTAATGCCGTGACCCCCAACTGGTCGTTAAGTCGAGGACTACTCAACCGGTCGTAAGTCGAGGACTACTCAACTGGTGCAGCACCGTTTGCAGAATGGGACTTTTGGCGGGCTCAGCAGGGCAGAGACAGCCTGGACAATTCCTATTGGCTTTTGAAAGCCAATAGAATTAGACTCATTCAAGAGAGTCTATTCTATTGGCTTTCAAAAGCCAATAGAATAAAAGGGAGTAGCACAGCTAAGGAAAAGGGGGAAAAAAATGGCGGACTGCGTTGTTTGGCGACCCCCGTGAAATGGTCGTTCGACCCCAACTGGGGTCCCGACCCACAGGTTGAGAGCCACTGTTCTAAAGGAAGTGAAGTCGAAAAACAAGTAAAACTGTTTTCTACTTTTCATTACTTAGAAAGATACTGACCACGATCTTGTTGGGGATCCGTGTGACACCAACCAGGACAAGTGAGTTTGAAGAATATCTGCCTTCATTTCACATACAGCAAGGTTTGAGTTTCCGTCTGCGTCCTTGCAAGAATAATTGCTCTATGAATCCCTTCTAGCTGGAAGGAGACAAACCTAAGAGTAGTTAAGTTACATAGAGGTGCTGCAATTATTTTGACTCTTTTGGCAACACATGTTCTACTGTGTTGCGAAGGCCTTGACAGCTTTGGTCACCACGTAGGACAGAAAGCTGATATAAGGACCTTTTGTCTATGGAAATTCTCAATCATCCAGGTCAGGGTGGTCCCAAAGATGCCATTTCAAAAAGCAACTGGACTGTTTTTCCTTTAAGACAGTGGTTCTCAACCTTTTTAATGCCACGACCCCCAACCGGTCGTAAGTCGAGGACTACTCAACTGGTGCAGCACCGTTTGCAGAATGGGACTTTTGGCGGGCTCAGCAGGGCAGAGACAGCCTGGACAAGTCCTATTGGCTTTTGAAAGCCAATAGAATTAGACTCTATTCAAGAGAGTCTATTCTATTGGCTTTCAAAAGCCAATAGAATAAAAGGGAATAGCACAGCTAAGGAAAAGGGGGAAAAAATGGCGGACTGCGTTGTTTGGCGACCCCCGTGAAATGGTCGTTCGACCCCAAATGGGGTCCCGACCCATAGGTTGAGAACCACTGCTTTAAGATATTTTGCTTCCCATCCAAGAAGCTTCTTCGGTTCAGTGAACTGAACCGAAGAATCTTGTTGGATGGGAAGCAAAACATCTTCAAGGAAAAATAAAGTCCAGTTGCCTTTTGAAAAAGCACCTTTGGGATAATGACCTTCTTTTTCTCCAAAGAGGTGGAGTAATAGAGTATCCGTGCAAATAATTGCACTGCTATGTCATGGGCAATGAGACCATTTAGTGTTCTCCCAATGTCAAAATCTAGCAAAGCGGTAAGCTAAGCTGATTGGGGAAGAGTGACTCCTACAGAGGTGCAGTTGGCAGCTTTTTGATGGGCAAATGGCTTAAGTCTTGGGCATCTGAAAAGAACTCAAACAGGTGCGCCAACAGTAGTTGTTGGGAGCAATTTAGGGCAGGGATGTCAAACTCATGCCATGTGACGTGTCACTCGCGTCATGTGACGTGTCGCAACGTATCACAATTTTTTCCCCATTGCCGGCAGTGGGGTGAGCGTGGTTTTGCTATGATGCATCTGGCCTGCCAGCCGGAAGTTTGACACCCCTGATTTAGGGGATAGTGAGCTTGGATAAAGATCTCCCTTTTCTATCATTCTCTTATTTCACTCATCACCCAACTCTTAAGTTTTCTTTTCTTTCTTTTTTTCTCGTTGGCAGAGATGGAGATGGACACCAGGATTCCCGTGACAATTGTCCTTCAGTGCCCAACAGCTCCCAGCTGGACTCCGACAAGGATGGGCTTGGCGATGAGTGTGATGATGATGATGATGACGATGGCATCCCAGATCACAAACCCCCAGGGCCTGACAACTGCCGTTTGGTCCCCAATCCTGGCCAGCAGGACACAAATCGTGAGGACACCATGCATTCTCTCTCTTTCTCTTCCTTTGTGAGGGATAGATAAATGTCTATGGAGATTCTCAGTCATCCAGGTCATGGTCAAAGGTGCTTTTTCAAGAGGCAATTGGACTTTCTTTGTTTGTCTTTGAAGACGTTTCACTTCTCACCCAAGAAGCTTCTTCAGCTGGACACAAGCAAACCTCCAAGTGGCCTCAATGACTCTCCGAAAGAATGCAAAGGACCAGCTGTCTGCAACGAATATAAATCCTTCCATTCCCACCATCCAATCAGAGCTGAAGAAGCTTCTTGGACAGAAGCAAAATGCCTTCAAAGAAAATCAAGAAAGTCCAATTGCCTCTTGAAAAGGCACCTTTGTTCCTTTGTGAAGCCTTTGCAAAAGCACAAACATGAAACAGGTGTCCCTTAGTGTCAACAACCAATATAATATAATATAATAAAATAAAATAACATATACTCAGTGGTGGGATTCAGCCAGTTTGCACCACTTTGGCAGAATCAGTAGCTAATTTTTTGTTGCCCGGGCCCAGAATGGACCTCCGGAAGTAGCATCCACACAGAGAACCGGTTGTTCACATATTTGAATCCCACTACTGCATATACTGGATTTGGAAAGAGGCCATTGTCCAGTGCAGGATCCCCTAGAACAGGGGTCTCCATACTTGTTAACTTTAAGACTTTAGTCACCACAGGACAGAAAGCTAATATAAACTTAAATAAACATATAGTATATATTCTGGGAGTTGAAGTCCACAAGTCTTAAAATTGCCAAGTTTGGAGACCCCCTGCACTAAAAAGATGTTTCTCAATCTTCTTCTTCTTATTATTAGTTGTGAAGTCGTGTCCGACCCATCATGACCCCATGGACAACATTCCTCTAGGCCTACCTATCCTCTACCATCTTCTGGAGTCCCTTTAAGCTCACGCCTCCTGCTTCAGTGACTCCATCCAGCCACCTCATTCTCTGTCGTCCCCTTCTTCTATGGCCCTCAATCTTTCCCAGCATTAGGCTCTTCTCCAGTGAGTCCTTCCTTCTCATTAGGTGGCCAAAGTACTTGAGTTTCTCAACCTTAGCAATTTTTAAGTTCTGTGGACTTCAACTCCCAGAATTACCCAGTCAGTTAACTTGACCAAAGAAACAAAGTATGTCTGAATGTGACTGGAAAAGGTTCTTTTCCTTTTCTTCCAAAAGGGCTGTTATTGAAATCTTGTAGATCAGCAACATGGACATTAGGGAGAGAAGCTAAAGCCACTTCCAGGAAAAGTTAATCATACTGGTAAGGTCAGTCCATGTTTTTCAAACCTGGTAGCTTTAAGGATTCTGGGAGTTGGAAGTCCATACGTCTTAAAAGTTGCCAAGTTTGGAAACAATGGGTTAGTCTAAAGGAAAGGTTTTCTAAAAAAACAGCCTGTGTTGGCAGATTACCTTAAGAAATATAGCTGAAGATGTTTGTCAGGTAGAAGCAAGTAGAGGAAGAGGTAAAACTAATATGGAAGGGAAACAGAGAGGAATAGAGGATGCTGAAGTTGGGAAACATTTCCCAAGGGCATCTCCGATAGATGGTCAACCAGTTGTTGGAAAAGCAAAGATGAAGAATCCACCAGTTTATGTAGCAGGCCGTCAGGTCAAAAACAGGAAGTTTCTCCTGACATCTAACTCAAACTTCTTTGTCATCTTCTGCTTTTAACCCCACCCCCTGGGGCCATAGAGACTAAGTCTACACCATATAATAATAAAGTTGGAAGGGACCTTGGAGGTCATCTAGTCAAACCCTCTGCTCAGGCAGGAAATCCTATACCATTTCAGACAAATGGCTATCCAGTCTCTTCTTAAAAACTTCCAGTGTTGGAGCATTCACCGCTTCTGGAGGCAGGTTGTTCCACTGATTAATTGTTTTGTCAGGAAGTTTCTCCTTAGTTCTTGGTTGCTTCTCTCCTTGATAGTTTCCATCCATTGCTTCTTGTCCTGCCTTCAGGTGCTTTGGAGAATAGCTTGACTCCCTCTTCTTTGGGGCAGCCCGACATATTGGAAGACTGTTATGTCCCCCCTCGTCCTTCTCTTCATTAAACTAGACATACCAATTCCAGCAACTGTTCCTTATATGTTTTAGCCTCCAGTCCCCTAATCATCTTTGTTGCTCTTCTCTGTACTCTAGTTTATACAGTCTCAACATCTTTTTTACATCGTGATGAAAACTGGATGCAGTATTCCAAGTGTGGCCATACCAAGGCATTACTTCACGTGATCTTGATTCTATCCGTTAATGGAGCCTAGCACTGTGTTGGCTGCATTAACCCTCTTCTTCCCGACAGCCTTTTAGATATTTGAAGCCTGCTATTCTACCTCTAATTGACTTTTCTGTAGATCAAATACTAATCTTTAACCTTTCTACATAGGACTTTATTTCCAGACCCTTCAGCATCTTAGGTCTCCTTTGAAAAATTCGTCAGCCCTTTTTTAATTCTGGTGCCAGAACTGGATGTTGTTCTCCAAATGAGGTCCAGCCAAGCCACAACACAGGGGAACAATTGTTTTCCACAAACTGGACTTTATTTCCTGTTGCATCCCAAGGTAGCATATGTAACTCTCCATTTTCATTTCTTCTATCTTCACACACACACACACACACACACACACAGAAAAATGAGATGCAACATAGATGGAGCATATGATTTGCACCAGTTCTATTTTGAGTAAGGAGGGAAATTTCTAAGATTTGTGTAATGAGAGCTGAGAGCAAATCTCCCCCCAAAAAGACTTTGATCTGGACTTAATGCGCTGCATGAACTGTAAAAATGCAGTGTTAGGCTGGTGTATGATGCTTATGACCCTAATTCTGCCTTTGAACCCAGGGCAATTGGAGGAAGCTGATTCCCCACTCTCTTTTCTGTAGGAGATGGTGTTGGAGATGCTTGTCAGGATGACTTTGATAAGGACAAGGTAATTGACCAGATTGACGTTTGCCCTGAAAATGCTCAGGTGACGCTGACTGACTTCCGGGCCTTTCAGACCGTTGTGTTGGATCCCGAAGGTGATGCCCAGATAGACCCCAACTGGATTGTCCTCAACCAGGTTAGCTATCAGCTTTGAGGTTGCTTAGCGATTTCTTGATATGCTTGTTCTTGCCCTCCTTTATGCTTTGCATGATTGAAAACACTTCCAGTCCTGAAAAACGATTGCATTGCTCTCAAATGTTCGGATCAAAGGCGAGTCCAATTCTTCTAGTCTTACACATACTGGAGGCATCTCCCTCCAGCGAAGACCTCACGAGAAGCGGTACCGAGATATTCACAGGTGTACTTTCCAGCCAGCACAGCCAATGGAGAGGTTGACAAGGCATGATGGGAGTACTGCCAGCCGAGGTGGCGCAGCAGTTAAGAGTGCAGTACTGCAGGCCACTTTAGCTGACTGTGTTCAGCAGGTCAGCGGTTCAAATCTCACTGGCTCAAGGTTGACTCAGCCTTCCATCCTTCCGAGGTAGGTAAAATGAGAACCCAGATTGTTGGGGGCAATGTAAATATATATATACATTGCTTACTGGTGTACACAGCTTAGAGAGTGCTTGCACTTAAAGCGGTATATAAGTCTCATAAATAAATAAATATATATGACTGGGAATTCCAGGAACTGAAGTCTAATTTGTCTGGAGCAGCTTCAGATAGGGAAAGGATAGATTTCTGTAATGGAAAAGACTTTGATTGGAGGAGCTTTATATCCTGCTCTGGTCTGGGATATCACTTACCTTCCTGGGTGAAGATGATTCAAGGCTGCTGGGGTGAAGTCTTGGCTGCAAGAACACTGGTCTGTTCTTCATCCAGTTAATGGTCCAGGACAAAGCCAGGGTCTGGTCCAGGGCAGTTCTGTTCCCAACAATTTTGGGACAACTTCCTCCTTTTCCAACTGCTCTACTCTTCTCCAAGTAAATCAAGTTGGGGAGTAACAGAAGAAATTTGTAGCCTCATCCAGCTAAAGCAGTGTTTCTCAACCATGGCTACTTTAAGATATGTGGACTTCAACTCCCAGAATTCCCCAGCAACTGGCTGGGGAATTCTGGGAGTTGAAGTCCACACATCTTAAAGATGCCACGGTTGAGAAACACTGGTCTAGAAAAAGGCCACAAGTAGTGGGATAACAGAGGATGTCTTGTTGAAAAACTACAGGTAACATTCGGTGAATAAAAATATTTTTGTAACCTCTCTCCAACAGTCGCTTTGTCGAACAGCAAAAATCCCATTTTGCTCTTTGTTGTTTTCTGAAAATACCCACCTCAAAATTTCAGATGGAGGGTTGGAATCCCCTGATCCATAGCATTAAAAAAGAAACTTCTTATTTTTTGCAGGGCATGGAAATTGTGCAGACCATGAACAGTGACCCAGGTTTGGCTGTGGGTAAGTTATAGTTTAAGCTCTGAAAGAAAGCAAACACTTTAAAAATATTTGCAACACACTCACTCCAATTATACAGATCGTCCTCAACTTACAACGGCAATTGACTTATTAGGAACTGCTTCTCAACATCTTTTTTACATTGTGGCGACCAAAACTAGATGCAGTATTCCAAGTGTGGCCTTACCAAGGCGTTGTAAAGTGGTATTAACAATTCAGTGGTTCTAAGTGTGAGGACCTGTTGTGAGTCACCTTTTTTAGTGTCTCTGTTAACTTTGAATTGTTGCTAAAGAAATGGTTGTAAATTGAAGACTACCTGTACAGGTAGTCCTTGATTTACGACCACAATGGAGCCCAAAACTTCTCTTGTTAAGTGAAACGTTTGCTAAGTGAGTTTTGCCCCATCTGATGACCTTTCTTGCCACAGTTGTTAAGTGAATCACTGCAGTTGATAAGTTAGTAGCCGGGTTGTTAAGTGAATCTGGTTTTCCCACTGACGTTGCTTGTGAGGTCACAAAAGTTGAATCACTTGACCTTGGGACAAAGCAAATAAATACGAAGCGGCCTGTCAAATTTGATCACACAATTGTGAGGATGCTGCAAAGGTTGTTAACTGTGAAAAATGGTCATTGTCACATTTTTCAATGCCACTGCCAATTTTGATTTGGTCATTAAACAAACTGTTGTTAAGTTGAGGACTACCTGTACTTTATTGTAAGGTTACAGTAACAAATTGTGGGCTTCTGAATGTGTCTTTCCTTTCCCTGCCTTTGCCTTCAAGAGAATCAGGGAGGCTCACTTTCCCAAATTATATTCTTGCTTTAGACCAGGCATGTCAAACTCGTGACGTCACATGATGTTGCATGACGTATCGCATCTTTTCCCCCCTTCCCGGCAATGGGGTGGGCGCGGTTTTGGGCCGGCAGTTTGACATGCTTGCTTTAGATCAGTGGTTCTCAACCTGTGGGTCGGGACCCCATTTGGGGTCGAACAACCATTTCATGGGGGTCGCCAAACAACGCAGTCCGCCATTTTCTCCCCCTTTTCCTTAGCTGTGCTACTCCCTTTTATTCTATTGGCTTTTGAAAGCCAATAGAATAGACTCTCTTGAATAGAGTCTAATTCTATTGGCTTTCAAAAGCCAATAGAATTGTCCAGGCTGTCTCTGCCCTGCTGAGCCCGCCAAAAGTCCCATTCTGCAAATGGTGCTGCACCAGTTGAGTAGTCCTCGACTTATGACCGGTTGGGGGGTCGCAGCATTAAAAAGGTTGAGAACTCTGCTTTAGACTAAGATTTTTCTTCTCTGACCCTTGTCTTGGTTTTGGGCCTTTCTTCCTGTTCCTCAAGGCTTTTAGGTAATAGTAGTGAAGTTGGAAGGGACCTTGGAGGTCATCTAGTCCAACCCCCTGCTCGGGCAGGAAACCCTACACCATTTCGGACAAATGGCTGTCCAGTCTCTTCTTAAAAACTTCCAGTGTTGGAGCATTTACTGCTTCTGGAGGCAGGTTGTTCCACTGATTAATTGTTCTCACTGTCACGAAGTTTCTCCTTAGTTCTAGGTTGCTTCTCTCCTTGATTAGTTTCCACCCGTTGCTTCTTGTCCTGCCTTCTGTCAGGGGTCCTTGGTGTGCTCTGAGGTTGATTATTTTCTTGCAGATGTTTCATTACCCAACACTAGGTAACGCCATCAGTCCTAGTTAAGGAGTGGGGTTTCCTCTCAGTTTAAAGAGAGAGAGAGAAAGCAAACCTCACTCCTTACTCCTACTGATGATACTACCTAGTTGGGTAATGGAACGTCTGCAGGAAAACCACCAAGCTCAGAGAACACCAAGGACCCCACATTTCACCCCCGAGGTACAAATATTCTCCCGTATTGCTATTCTGAGTCTTTTGACATGAACAGCAAGAAATAAAAATGCAATGTATTTATGCGATGGCCTTTGTCTTCTCCTCACTTGGGCTCAGGGTACACTGCGTTCAATGGGGTGGACTTCGAAGGCACCTTCCATGTGAACACGGTCACGGATGACGACTATGCAGGGTTCATCTTTGGCTACCAGGATAGCGCCAGCTTCTATGTGGTGATGTGGAAGCAGATGGAACAAACCTACTGGCAGGCCAATCCTTTCCGGGCTGTGGCAGAACCTGGCATCCAACTCAAGGTAAGGGCAGAGCTGCCATCGGGCTCCCTTCTCATCATGGCTCAGAGCCAGGGAAGAGGAACAGGAGAAAAAGCATGTCAGGACGCCGCTGAATCTAAAATTTCAGAAGGAGCAACGATAGTGTGTTCCATCTCCTCTACCCCGACACTGTAGCAGGAGTGGGAAAGAGGGTCGTTATTCCTCCTGCTTTCCCCTTTCAGGCAGTGAAATCCAAGACCGGGCCTGGAGAATATCTACGTAACTCACTGTGGCACACAGGGGACACAGCTGACCAGGTCAAGTTGTTGTGGAAAGACCCCCGGAACGTCGGCTGGAAAGATAAGACTTCCTACCGCTGGTTCTTACAGCACCGGCCCCAGGTGGGCTACATCCGGTAAAGAAACACTGAAAAAATCTCTGTAGCTCAGGGCTGAACTGTGGGGTCCTTGGTGCTCTCGGAGCTTGGTTGTTTTCTTGCAGACGTTTCATGACCCAACTAGGTAACATCATCAGTGCACTTCGCTGCACTTTGGGCATTCGGAAGTAGACTGCATTGAGTGCTGTTTGCAGCATCCCGTGGCCACCTATTGTGTTTTATGACAATTTCGCTGAAAACCAGCACTTCCGGTTTTCAGCAAAACTGCACCAGAGCAAACAATGGGTTTGTTTAATGACTGCACTGTTTAACAACTGGTGCAAAAAAAAAAAAAAGCCGTAAAATTGGGTCTGTATTGATCCTTTTTACAAGCGTTATAACGTGGGTTGTAACTGCAGGACTACCTGTAGTCAATGCTTAATTACTTTTTTAAAGGGAATGTTATATCATTTTAAGATTTCCAAGCTGACTTTCAAGAGAGCACTTATATTTAAGAGTTTGTATGAGGCATTTGAAAGATGCAGATATATACCACTCTTCAAAAACTGCCTGAAATCTGTCAAGATTTCCTACCAGGGTTTATAACTCCATTTTGTCAGCTGAAGCAATGTAATGTCCTATAAATTCATTTGTGAGGTGGGGGAAAACGCCTTAAGTAGTGCACAGAGAGTCTTCAGCAGGACATACAGAAGGCCATTCCCCTTCATTGAAAGATATTTATCTGTATCAGAAGGGTCTGAATTATTTACAGAAACAGTGGACAATCAGCCTTAGTTTATCCCTTTTTCAGTTCCAACACAAACTTACAAACTGATCCAAGGTTTAGCTGTTGTTTTAGAGATTGGACACCAGGAGTCTTACAGGATAAGTGTCAAACAGAACAGGATGGTGGCCAATGATAGCGCAACTGAAGTTCCACCTATTTTTTATGTGCATCACAACGCACACAAAATAGGTGAAGCTTTATTGCACATCGCATCTATCATCTTGACTTTTTAAAATAGATCCACGTTGGGTGCCTTAGAACAGGGGTGGGGAACGATGACCCCTTTATGATTTGTGGACTTCAATTCTCAGAATTCCTGAGCCAGCATGGCTGGCTCAGGAATTCTGGGAATTGAAGTCCACAAGTCATAAAGAGGCCATCGTTCCCCACCTCTGCCCTAGAACGTAACAACATTCAAGGCAAGGGGCCGTGGGACTCAGGATAAACATTGTGACTGCCAGAAATAAGTTAAATCCTTCTCTGGATTTGTACTTCAGGACTCGGTTCTATGAGGGATCTGAGGTGGTGGCTGACACTGGCGTTGTCCTCGACACAACCATGAGGGGGGGCCGTCTGGGGGTCTTCTGCTTCTCCCAGGAAAACATCATCTGGTCCAACCTGCGGTATCGTTGCAATGGTGAGTGAGGCACGATCCAATCCTGTCCTGTGGTCCACAAAGCCGCTCCGATGTCACTGGAGGGTGGTCTTGAAGCATCACTGGAACAAGCATGTTCCTCAGCTGGGGGATCTGGAGAACATTCACGATCCAGAGCGGCCTCGCTCAGGATTCTCTGCGGAGGCCTTTAGCATCCCTCTGAGGGGTTCCCCCTGGTAGCCCCCATCAAGTGCCCCCCCCATCAGAGCATCTGGACCTGTGTTCAGCTGCTGATCTTCTCTTCTGGTTCATGTGCTCTCTCTTCCCCTTCTTCTCAGACACGATTCCTGAAGACTACGAGGCTTACCGGAACCAACACGACTACTAAATGCTACCGCTGCTGGCTGAAAAGAGACTTGTTGCGCCCGCGCCACACACACACTCCTTCTGCTCCCTTCAAGATATAGCAAATGCCAAACTGTCCCCTAATAATGTGGCAAGCACCGTGTCCGCCAGCCCCCATGGCATCCCCACTGTCCCCCCTCTCCTGGAACCAGCCTCCACCTCACCCGAGACCTTCTTCCACATGCACCCCGAGAGCCCTCACTGCTCGACACAGTGCAGAAGAGCCGCTCACGCTCTGTGGCAGCTGCTAACAAGTCCACAAGGCTGGACATAACCAGGGGAGCCTCCTGGAAGGCTGAAGCGTCACCATCAGAGACGGGGCTTTCTTGGGCATCCTCCCACTCGGTTGCCTCCTGCCTCTTCTTGGGTCAGCCACTGCTGACGCTGAGGTGGGACATGGACAGTGACCTGTCATGGTCTCCTGGATTTTGCTCCATGCCCTCTGCAAAAGAAGGGAAGGTGTCCTTTGGGGGTCTCACTCCATGGAGCCTTCCATATTATATATATATGGTAGTCTTCGATTTACGACCAGAAGTTTCAGTGGCTAAGCGAGACATTTGTTCAGTGACATTTGCCCCATTTTACGACATTTCTTGCCACAGTTGTTAACTGAGTCACTGCACTTGTTAAGTTAGGATCACAGCTGTGAAGTGAATCTGGCTTCCCCACTGACTGCAAAGCATCTAAATTCTGATCTCATGCCCGTGGGGATGCGGCAACAGTTGTTAAGTGTGAAAAGTGGTCATAAGTCGCTTTTCTCGGTGCCGTGGCAACTATGAACGGTCACTGAACAAATGGTTGTAAGTCGAGGACTACCTGTACAAGCTGAGGCTTCTGTTTGATTCGGGAATACACTTCACCACCACTCCAGCCTTCGATGGGAATCTGTCTGGTTTGGAAGCCACACAGGCGGCCTTCGAAACGTCCAAGCAGGGAGCAAAGCTTAGTAGTAGAATGCCAGCTCTGCACAGAGAAGGCCCTGGGTCACACCTCCAGTTAAGAGGACCAGACAGCAAGGGATGAGCAAGTCACTCTTGGCTTAAGTCCTGGAGAGCAAGTGCTACTTACATTCAGTGGTTTTTGGGCTAGAGGTGATCTCGGATAAGACAGTTTCCTAAAGTAATACCCTTTACCCAATAATCCAGGATGCTTGGCTCGTTCCACTAGAGCAGGGGTAGGCAACCTTGGCTCTTTTATGACGCGTGGACTTCAACTCCCAGAATTCCTGAGTCAGCCATGCTGAGGGGAAAGGGAGAGGTTTCCAAGCTGGCTATGCTGGCTCAGGAATTCTGGGAGTTGAAGTCCACGAGTCATAAAAGAGCCAAGGTTGCCTACCCCTGGACTAGAGCAATATTTCTCAACCTTGGCCGCTTGAAGATGACTGGGGGATTCTGGGAGATGAAGTCCACCCATCTTCAAGTGGCCAAGGTTGAGAAACACTGCATTAGTTTAGGAGAAACTCGGAGAGCCATTTGTACAAATACGGACTGTTTGGTTAATAAAATAACTGTTTGTCTACCAAAAGTTAAGGAGTATTTGTTATCTGCCGCTCCGGAAGAGGTTTGGAAAAGGAAAAAATAAAAAGCTAGCCGGGCATTCAGTGGAGGAAATGCACTTTAAAATGACAAGACCCTCAATTGGTGACACAAAACACATCGATTATAAATATTCTTCAGAAAAGCAGAGCTGAACAGCCAGAGAGAAAAACAGCTGAACTTTATTACATTTCATTTACAAATAATGCAAAGTTACAAAGACAAAAAAAAAGCCTTCACAGAAAAAAAGGGAAACAAACGAACAAAAAAAAGAGGTTTTAAAAGAATGTGCACAGGATTTTGCTTTATTTTTTCACATCGTCATGTTCTTAGTTTGCAAAAGGAAGAACACACACGCACACACATACATACACACACGCACGCTTAGAAAGCCATCTTCAAGGCTTTTTTTTTTGCCAAGAGAGAAAAAGCCACAATAAATTAAGCCTCAATGCTCCAGAGTTCGTTTACTCCTGCCCAAGTCCTCCCCCCACCCCCCACCCCAGAAAAACCTGTAGTTCAATGGTAGGATTTGCATATATCGATAAAGTCATTCTGCTAGTCCTCATGGATAAAAAATAAAACCTCTGTAAACAGGATGTTACACAGTTCAAATACAAAAAACAAAACAAAAAACAGACTGTTCCCTTCCCCCTTCAGTTCACCCCCAAATATGAAGTGTGTACATTGTTTTAGCTGCCTTGTCAATAAGAGAAGCTGCTCTGGGCAGCTGAATTTATATTATTCAGATAAAACTTCTTTTTTTTTCGTGCTTTCAGATACTCCGTAAGAAATTTGGAAAAAGAATTTAAAAAGACGTGAATTTCTTCCCCCAAAGAAAGCCATGTCTTAATAGCTACCATGCTACTAGCTAGAATTAATTAGACTTTAATTTGCTAACTTTAGTCAAATGTCTGGATGTTTCCAGTAATACAGTTAAAAGTTGTACTATAAACACAGATAATGTTAAATGTGCAACTGCTTATGTCCACAGTTAGGAACTACTTAAGGTGGAAAATATTGCATTCCCCAAGAAAGAAATGCAAAGCCTATAGAATAAATACTGATGATCTAAACTGTGATGGCTTCTCACTTCACCCCCAATTCAAAATAAATTGTTTTGGATTGGGTGGCCACTTCAAGCAGTTTCACATCTCAATTTTTTTGTCCTGGATGTGCTGGGAAGGTCTGCAGTGGCCCAGTCCCCTCTGCATGTCCTTATTTTCACTCTCTTCCACGCCCAGCTCCACCATAACCAAGAGATAATATCTCTGAAAGTCACACCCCTTAGTCAAGTCCCTTGTTTTGTTTAGCCTTTTACTGCAAAGGTCCTACAGAATAATAAATAACCTTCTTTTCACAGCAAAAAAAAAAAAAAAAAAAAAAAAAAACTTCCCAAAAAAGAAAGAAAAGGAATTACATGAGCAGAATTGCAAAGTTCTTTTGCTTACAATTCTCAGCAGCTGAAGAAATTTAATAATAATAATAATAATAATAATAATAATAATAATAATAATAATAAAGTTGGAAGGGACCTTGGAGGTCATCTAATCCAACCCCCTGCTCAGGCAGGAAACCCTATACCGTTTCAGACAAATGGCTGTCCGTCTCTTCTTAAAAACTCCCAGTGTTGGAGCATTCACTGCTTCTGGAGGCAAGTTGTTCCACTGGTTAATTGTTCTCACTGTCAGGAAGTTTCTCCTTAGTTCTAGGTTGCTTTTCTCCTTGATTAGACATGACCTTTCAGAAACCAAAGGCAATATAATCTCATAAACTATATTGACACTGTGATACACGCAGCTGTATCAGGACAAATAAGAAGACGCGCACAATTCGTGGTGCAACTAGTCCTCATGCTTTTCAACAATCCACTAGGACAGTGTTTCCCAAACTTGACAATTTTAAGGCATGTGGACTTCAACTCCCAGAATTCCACAGCCAGCGTTGCTGGCTGTGGAATTCTGGGAATTGAAGTCCTCATGCCTTAAAATTGTCAAGTTTGGGAAACACTGCACTAGGACAAGATCAATTTTTTTAATGAAGGTTTTTTCCCCCCTCCAGACAGAGCCATGGCTTGGAAATGCAGCCCCATGGCAGTTCTGACTTTTGATCTCCAACCTTTTAAATCACATTTGCCTTCCCCTTTCCAAAAAAAAAAAAAAAAAAAAAAAAAAACAAGTTTCCCCTGTCTATAGAGATTCTCAGTCATCCAGATCATCCCAAAGGTGCTTTTTCAAGAGGCAACTGGACTTCCTGTTTTTCCATGAAGATGTTTCGCTTCTCATCCAAGAAGCTTCTTCAGTTCTGCTTCTTGGATGAGAAGTGAAACATCTTCAAGGAAAAACAAAGGAAGTCCAGTTGTCTCTTGAAAAAGGACCTTTGTGGGACAAGCTTCCTTCTGTTAGTGGAAGCTTTGTGTATGCACACAACATTTAGAGTCTACTTAAGAGTCTGTGCCTGCACAAGAACGAAAGAAAAGATGATAAAAATGTCTTGACTTCCAAGTGAGGCTAGCAGCCAAATGTTCTGAGCTCCACAAAACAGGAAATTTTATTCCACATTGTTTGGAGGCCACAAAACTGGCTGGATTTTTACTTAAGTAATTCTTTCAAGCTACTTAAATTCAAAAGACAGGAAAACAGCATACGGGGGTTTCACTGGGCTGAAATATTGTCACCTTAAGTTCTCTCCGGCTTTCTTTTCCAAGTAGCTAGCAAAGTGAACAAGCTACACAATGGAGAGGTTGTTAGCAATTCTCAAGATAAAAGGGTAATTTTTGCTACTATTGTGTTGTTCGAGGGCATCGGTGCTGATGTGTTGTTGCTTCTCTGCTGGCTCCTTTCTGTGGCTGGCTGTTTGTGTAGGCAGGGGTTATACAAATATGCTTGATTTGTTTTTGCTTCTATTGCTTGATGTGGACATTTTATAAACACTTTTTTTTAATGCATCTCCTCGGCCAATTTTTCTTTGTTTACGGGCGGCCCTCAGCAAGAATTACAGTCCTTGAGTTATGGCCATAATGGAGCCTGGAATTTCCATCGTAAGTCACGATGGTTGCAAGTTGAGGCACCCGAAGGACCGGGCCGAATGTTATGGCAGCTATTATGCCCGCCTTCCTGTTTATTTGATAAACCAGGAAGCAGTCAACTTCACAATACTTGTGGGGTTCCCCCCACTTCCATTCAGGCTGGGTTCTACTAATCCCAGGTGAACAAAACACAAGAGTTGTGTTTTTTAACACGCTATGCTAAAGCAAATCCTTCTAACCTGATGACCTGCTAAGACTGTGGTTGGGTTTCTAACAATACACTGAGGCACAAACTACTAGATCCCGCACAAACACAGCAATGGAACTGCTGTTATCATACATTTTACCCCTGTAACCCACAGATGGGATCCAGTCATCTTGCATTTATAGGAAGCTGTTTTACAGTCTGCCAAATTTCAGAGGGTTCAGAGGCACGGCAGCAATGCCAGCCTAGAACTGGAGGTGATGATGAAAACCACCTATTTCAACAGCCAATATATTATTCTGAAGATTAATATTTCGGCAAGGCTTGAGTGCAACTTTCTCAACGAGATACCTGTCCAGGATCTGCTTAAATACTTTCAGAGAGCCCATATTTTTCTGAAATAGCCAGATTCATTGCCACATGGCTCTTGAGGGTGGAAACGTCTGCTCAGCTCCCTTCTATTTCCAGCTGCTTATTCTAGCACAGTGGTTCTCAACCAGTGGGTCGGGACCCCATTTGGGGTCGAACGACCATTTCACAGGGGTCGCCAAACAACGCAGTCTGCCATTTTTTCCCCCTTTTCCTTAGCTGTGCTACTCCCTTTTATTCTATTGGCTTTTGAAAGCCAATAGAATAGACTCTCTTGAATAGAGTCTCATTCTATTGGCTTTCAAAAGCCAATAGGAATTGTCCAGGCTGTCTCTGCCCTGCTGAGCCCGCCAAAAGTCCCACTCTGCAAACGGTGCTGCACCAGTTGAGTAGTCCTCGACTTACGACCGGTTGGGGGTCGCGGCATTAAAAAGGTTGAGAACCACTGTTCTAGCATCTCCTGGAATAACGGAAAACAAGTCTGTCCATCCTATGTAAAATCCTACAAAATTCCTTTATTGTTGTTGTTCAGACACTAAGTCAGTTATGACTCTTTGTGACCTCACAGACCATAGTACGCCAGCCCCCCACCCTCCACTATCTCCTGCAGTTTGCCCAATTGTCCCCCTTCTTCTTTTGCCTTCAAACTTTCCCAACGTCATTCCAAGGAGCCCTCTCTCCTCCATCTGTGGGCCAAAGAATCTGAGCTCCAGTTTCAGTTATCTGTCCTTCCAAAGCCAGGGTTGCTTTCCATTAGGACTGACTGATTTGATCTCCTCGCAGTTCAAGGGACTCAATATTCTGGGGTCCTCCTTAAATCTTTTCCAGTCTAAATGCTACAATTCACTGGTCTGGTTGCCCAGATTCCTCTTCCCAGATTCTTAGAGCCTCCTTCCCTCAGGACGGGCTTCAGTTTATTTTATTATTTATTAAATTTATATGCTGCCCACCTCACTCTTTGGGGAGGCTCTAGGCCAGTGGATCTCAACCTGTGGGTCAGGACCCCATTTGGGGTCGAACGACCATTTCACAGGGGTCGCCAAACAACGCAGTCCGCCATTTTTTCCCCCTTTTCCTTAGCTGTGCTACTCCCTTTTATTCTATTGGCTTTTGAAAGACAATAGAATAGACTCTCTTGAATAGATTCTAA